GGTCAAGGTCACCCAGCGAGTTAGAGAAGGGCGGCCAGGCTGGGGTATCACCAACGGCAAGTATGCAACACCACGGGCCATTAGGAAACGAGACCCTGCCATGCACTTCATTCAGAAGGCAGACATGGACATGCGTGGATCTCCCAGTGCCGGTGCAGAGGGAAGAACGCTGCAGACAGGACACCTCTGGGGTCCTTCCACCCAGAGTCTGGCTCTCGGCCCCCTGTTTCCAGGTTTGCTGCAGCAGCACAGAAGCGGGAGGACAAGTTGCCACTGTGCCTGGGCATCATGCCATCACACCGCTGGTGAGCCAGAGCGCTACATGATTCCAGTCATGGTTACAGAAGAAAAAGTGTCCCTTCCATTGCCCCCCACAGCCTGACACCTGCAAGAACATTCTCTTGTCACTGGAGATGCCACTTAGGGATCTCTCGAGCCACCAGAGGAGGAAGAAAGGAATCTTCCTCTCCGGTTCGGAACCTTAAAATGCACCATGCTAATCTGGTTAGTCAATGCCCTGGGGGGAACAAAAGGGAAAGCTATTTTAGCAACATTCCCTAGTTTGGTTGGGATTGTGTGTGGAGGCAAACATTCTGTTTTCCTCATGGCTGCCCTGTTTTGATGCTCCTGGTCTTTCTGGTTCTCCCTGCAGCCTGATGGGAGTGTGCCAATCAACGCTGGGGTTCTCAAAACACACATCCACTGAGAGGACAGAGGCCCCCATGTCACCCAGCCCCCTCTCGGATTCTCAGTTCTCCTGAGAACAGGGGTGGGAACTGAAAGGCCTTTGAAAGAGGCCCTCTGGGATGCCTACGCCGTTGGCCCTGGGAGCACCTTCGTGATTTAGCACAGTGAGCGAGGAGTGGGGGCTGGAGCCAAGCCAGTGCTGCCCAGTGAACCTGCTTTCATTTCAGACGCCCCCTCTCTCCCACCCAACGTGGCTGCGTGGAAGCCGCACACTGTTAGTTCCACATACTTGAAAAGTACGTCAGCTCTCCCAGACAGGGACCAGAAACATGCTGCTCAGCTGTCACCTCCAAGGGGACCAACGCAGTCCTGTGGTAGTCGCTGCTCACTGACTGAGTGAACGCTATTGCAGCCTCTCCAAGACCCCAGTTAAAGGACTGAGACATGCCAGTTTTGGGGCTCCCTTTCCACTGAACACTGTGAACCCAGGTGACCTCTGCCAGTGGCATTTGTCAGGCCAGGGCAACACTGTGACAGTGGGGTCAACAGGGTCATAACTTTGGGACACATTACTGGAGGGAAGGAGGAGTTGAAACAAATGGTGGTCTAGAAGGTTCCCTCACAAGCCAGCAGTTATGTCATGGGCCCTCATGCTGCTGCCCTAAGGCTGAAGGGTCAATCCCGTACACCCCAGGCCACCCTGCCCGGCTCCAGCCCGATTGCTGACTGAACCAGCAGGCTCACCTGACCAAATACAGACCGTCACTGGCTCACTTACGACCCGTGACCCTAGAAAGATGACCAGGGCCAGTTCCATTTCTCCTTTAGGGGCTTTACATTCAGAACGGAGCTTAAAGCTAAGAGGAGATCTGGGGACTGAGGATAAAATGGTGGTGAAAAAGGTGGTCTCATCAACAGGAAAAGCTGGGCCTCAACAGAGCAGCATCTGGTTCTGGGAACTCTTCCTCTCCCTGTCCACTGGCCTGGCCACCCGCTGTCTGGGCCCCGAGAGAGGAAAGAATCACCCTCACAGAAAGCCAGGAACAGGAAGGCCCAGGTACTGCCAGCCTCACAGGCCCATTCCTCTTTCCCACAGTCCCTGGGCCCATGTTCACTGGGCTCACAGACGCAGCCTCCAGGGCCCTTGGCTCTTCAGGAACCTACAGAGATGACTGAGAATGAAAACAAAATGTACTGGCTCCAAAATGCACACAAACTCAAAATCGATGTTTAAATGTCTATAAAACAGCCCTGGTGGGTTTGGCTTGGCGGTTGGAGCATAGGCCTGTGGTCCAGAGAGACCCGGGTTCGGTTCCCGCTGGGGGCACGTATGGCAGTTGCAGTTTGTCCCCGGTCCTGGTTGGGTCGTGGCCCTGGTTGGGTCGTGTGGGAGGCAGCCACTCGATATGTACCTTTCACATCGATGTTTCTCTCTCTCTCTCTCTCTTCCTCTCTCTCCTTCCCACTCTATCTGAATAAAAAATGGAAAAATGTCCTCAGCTGAGGATAAAAAAAAAAAGTCTATAAAACATACCATCGTACTAATTAGCCAACCATATGTATATGTAAGTGCTCTATGTTCAGTGGAACACAGTGTTCTACAGTAGGCTTGACGAGCTGCGAGGAGTGGTCCCCAAGGGTGAGCGTGCAGGAGCTGGACAGAGCTCTGGGTACTCACTCTGCGGGGAACCTGTTTCATGAAGGGAGAGACCCAACCCCCTCCAGCTCACCTCTAGCACTTTTTAAATTTGTATTGGTTTCTCAAAAAAAGGAAGGGAGAGACACACATCGATCTCGTGCTGCCTCCTGCACGCCCCGTACTGGGGATTGAGCCCACAACCCCGGGATGTGCCCTGACCAGGAATTGAACTGGGACCTCTCAGTTGATGCTCAATCCACTGAGCCACACCGGCTGGGCTCACCTTTAGCACTTTCTATTTATTTAAGCCACACTGCCTAAGAAGGATGGAGAAGTTACAGGCACCTAGCAACTTCTGCTAATTCATCAGGAGGATAATTAAGAAGCTTTACCAGACTTCCTTCATTAGGTCCCTAAAGGAGACTGAACTACATTAGAAGCCCACTTTTCCATTTTTAGTTTGAGATATCTAGCAGTTCTGGTTAAAAATGAATGACACTAAATAATGAGACATTTTATGCTACAGTAATTGGGGTCAGATTGATGATGCAAAACAATGATTCTTCCTTCCATGTTCTTCAAATAAAACATCTTTTCTGCTACCCTTAATAGTTAGCAATGGCCTGGCCAGTGTGGGTCAGTGGATTGAGCGCTGTCCCATGGACTGAGAGGTCCCTGTAGATTTCGGGTCAGGGCACATGCCTGGGTTGCAGGCTGGATCCCCACTAGGGGGCGTGCAGGAGGCAGCCAATTGATGTTTCTTACATCGGTATTTCTCTCTCTCTCTAAAAAAAAATCAAGAATCTGATCTGGCAAGGAACAGAAATGGTTCACATACTTAAAGCTACTTGTCTACTTTCCTTTTGAAATTTAAGAAAAAAATTATTCCTTTTTGGAAAGAGAAGGGGTATGGGGAAAAAAAAGCTAGAGATATGAGGAAAATAATTTATTTATTTTAAAATCCGGGGATTGACATGCAATTAGCAACGTGAACACATGAGTAGAAAAGACAGGAGGAAGTGCCCTGCTGGATGGAGGCTGTAAGTGGCGGGGAGTGGGGCAGAGACAGAGCACCTCTGGAGCCAGAAGTTACCCTGAGGAAGCACCAATGCAGCAGCCGACCCTCCCTGAGGGACCTGACGGGCCAGATCTGAAGTCACCAATAGACGTGTGTGGCCAGAGCAGCACAGAAAAAACACTGTTACTCTCACCACCAAAGGCTTCTTTGTTTCATAAAAGGATGCATTTAGAGACTTGTTTCCATGGAGAAGTAACCTCGCCCTACTCGAAGTGGCACTTAAAGACAAAAGTGTGATTCTGTCCAACATTCCTTCTTGGGTGACTGCGGACTGCACGGGACGAGAGGTGAGAACCAGCACTCGCTGCCACGCTGGAGGCTCTGCTCCTGGAAGGCTGGGCGTCAGCATGCTGCTACGGCAACGGCAGCTCCTCGGGGTGCAGAGAACGGACTCTGGAACACACGCACACCTGGTCCAGGGTTCTGAGACTGATGAGGATGATGGGTGTGCCAACCTTGGTTGCCAAAAAAGCGGATCCCAGAACCGTGCCCCCAGAGATGCAGATCCTAAAGGTCTAGAGTAGGTCCTGGGAACCTTCATTTATATTGCAATCCAGGGGTTTCTGAGGCAGGTAGTTCAGGGACCATGCTTTGAGTTTAGGGTCAAGTGGGCATGGGGTGGGTGACAAGGTCCTAGAGGATTGTGGCTGAGGGTCAGTGGCAGCAGAGAAAGAACTTCTGAAGGCTAAAGACCCATTTCCACACACTCAAGAGACAAAAAAAGCATATGGGAAGGAAGACTGTCTTCTGTGCGTGTCGCCTACCGTACCCCACGGGACAAACAGCTCTTCTGAGCTAGCCTGACCCTGCTTTACAAAAGCATGACCAAGGCCATGCTTTTAGAGGTCCTGATTGCTCGGTAACACCTTACATTTTGCTCCTTTCCCCCAAATTAGTGCAAAGCACTCTCCCTTTGAATGGATAAAAAGGTGTGCAGGTGACTGGGCCCTAATCTTGGTGTGCTCGGCCTTGGGCTCTGGCTCGGGGCCGGTGGATCTCAATACACACATTTTAGCCCTGGCTGGTTTGGCTCAGCGGTTAGAGCACTGGCCTGCGGTCCAGAGAGACCCGGGTTCGGTTCCCGCTAAGGGCACGTACCTCGGTTGCAGTTTGTCCCCGGCCCTGGTTGGGTCGTGTGGGTGGCAACCACTCGATGTGTCTCTTTCACGTCGATGCTTCTCTCGCTCTCTCTTTCTCTCCTACTCTATCTGAATAAAATGTGGAAAAATGTCCTCGGGTGAGAATTTAAAAAAAATTAATAATAAAAAAAAAAATACACACATTTTAGCCACTGTCTGATACTAGTTGCCCTGACCGGCCAGGTGAACAACCTGCTCTCTGGGTGCAAACATAGGGAGTTGGAGACATCAGAGCTGGATGATTACTATTACCATTCAAGATACAGTTGGTGCATATTGCTCCAAAGGTCAACATGTGCAAAAGAAATGAATACACTAAAGAAAGAAGAAAAATGCGTGCTGCCTAGGAACAAGACTCAGTGATCTCACCTGGTGGGTCCAGGGAGGGTGCAGAGAGGTGAGCTTTAGCCTGGACTCCCACCGTACCCTGGAGGAGCAGACCCACAGGCCTGTCACTGTTCCTGTTGTGGGGCCAGAATCCAGGTGTGCTGATGACCAGTGCTGGAAGTAACGGGCCAGTGGAACGGCCTCATGATACTTGCCATGTAGAATTTGCCCTACTTTATTCTGAAGAAAAACATACAAAAAAGATACATCTATTCAACTTCAGGTGCCACCTGTGCAATCCCCACTTGGGAAGCCATAGCAGCTGCAAATCTACATTTCCTCCCACGGACATGGTAGCTCACACTGGATCACAGTCTCCTTCAAAATCCCCTCCTTCATGTGGCCAGGCCAGGGGTCCTGAGCCAGCCTGCACCTACTCTGGGAAGGCACGTGCTGGCCCAGGGGACACGGCGGTGAAGATGACATGCGATTCCCCCAGTTAACTTTGGGAAATATGATCTGAAAGACTTTGTGTTTTCATTTCTTGGATTTCTATTGAGTAACATTTTTCCTTTTCTAAAAACCCAGACCACAGGCTGACACAAGAAAAACCACAACTCCAGGGTCTCCTTTGTTCTTGTCTGGTGCCCAACATCGGCTTTCCTTCCTGCTTTCACAGTGTAAGTCAAATATTCCTGTGAAGGGTAAAATGGCTACATCTCTTCTTCTGCACCAAACGATTAACTATTAGCATCCAAAGGATAGTTTGGTGCAGCATGTAGCTCCTAAGGTCAAGCACATCAAAAAGGAATTGATACATTAATCAAAAGGAAAAGTGCTGATTAGAAAGGTGAAAAAATAATGGTATCTATTTTAAAAGAGCTTTTGGTCTTCCCTTAAAAATGGAACTCCTCCTTCCTGACGGAGACTTCAGATGCGTAGTGAATGTTTGGTCTGGTGGTCCTCTCCAATGTCTCACCTGCCTGGGTTTCCACTGCAGACCCTTCCGCAGGACTCTGCTAGCCAGGACACAAACATGTTCTGCCGGCAGCTGGTCCAGGTGCACAGGCGTCAGTGAATCTCTAAGGTCATGTCATTTTGTCAGTAAGTCTTGACACACCTAACTGAGTCCTAAGAAAGTGGACCAACTTGGTCTCTGTGAAGAGCACTGTCCCGAGAGTCGCTCCCAAACAGAAGGCCCCCACGGCAACATGCGCCAGCCTGGCCAGCCAGCCCTGCTCACAGCAGAGGAAAACCTGTGGAAAGAAACCACGGTCACCACCCTGGCCCTTCCATCTGTACCTCCTTCCTCTGGGGCAAGCCAGGGAAAGCAAAGGCCCTACTGTTCCAACTTGGAGTCAGATTGAACTAGGCACTGAGGGTCTACTCTGTCCCCACTGGTAAGAGCTATCATAAGATGCTGTCCGAGAGGCTGAGGGGAAGGGGGAAGAGGTGGCAGAAGCTTGTCTAGCAGCTCCAGGCAGAGCAGGAAGAGGACGCCCAGGAGGAACAGAGGACTGCTTGCCAAAGCATATGATGTGAAGGCTGTGGGGACCCTCACCTCTGAAACACTGGTAATCCCACCACTGAGGGCAAACGCTCCAAGGAGGACTGGCGACAACCGCAGGCCGGCCAGGGGCCTGTAGGGGCTCTCACGGTAGTAGCGGTGGATGAAGCAAAGGCTCTGTGTGATCCGAATGCCCATGTTAAAGCAGTTGGCCAAGATGAAGCCCACGCTGCCACACCAATGGGTCAGGAGATAGGATAACACCAGGAATGAAGATGACAGGGCCAGCATTGTGAAATTGTACCTGGGGAGAGGGAAACAAGCAAATCAGAGCAGTGGGCTACTTGTCCTAAGACAGAACTCCTTCAAAAAAGTGGCTGTGAACATAAAGTCACAGAAAGCACCTCTGAGTTCCCATAATCCAGCTGGATTTCATAACATTGCTCTATAGTTAACATGGAAATGTCACTGTGCCCCCAACCCTCGAATAGAAGAGTAAGAAAATGAGCAATGCGTGCCCTGACTTGTATGGCTCAGTCGGTTAGAGTATCATCCCATACACCGAGAGGTTTGCAGGTTCGATTCCCCTTTAGGGCAGATACCAAGGTTGTGAGTTTGGTCCCTGGTCGGGGTACTTATGGGAGGCAGCCAGCTGATGTTTCACTTTCTCATTGATGCTTCACTCTCTCATTGGTGTTTCTCTCTCTCTCCTCCCTTCCTCTCTATCAAAAAATCAATGAAAGCATGTCCTTGGGTGAGGATTAAAGAAAAAACACGCCCTGGCCGGTTTGGTTCAGCGGTTAGAGCGTCGGCCTGCGGTCCTGAGAGACCCGGGTTCGGTTCCCGCTAAGGGTGCGTACCTCGGTTGCAGTTTGTCCCCGGCCCTGGTCGGTTGTGCGGGTGGCAGCCACTCGATGTGTCCCTTTCGCATCGATGTTTCTCTCTCTCTCTCTGTTCCTCTCTCTCCCTCCCACTCTACCTGAACAAAGAATGGAAAAATGTCCTCGGGTGAGGATAAAAAAAATAAAAAAGAAAAAAAAGAAAAAAAAAAAGAAAAAACAAAAATGAGCAACTCAAGATAGGTATGGTTTTTAAGGATAATAATTGGTTAGTTTAAGTGGCACTTTGTGATCAAAACACACAAAAAATCCAATTCAGCCTAAGTCTCCTGTGTGAGGAACAAGAACATGACACAGGTGACAATTTTGTACAAATGCTAACTCTGGCCCAGCCAGTGTGGCTCAGCGGACTGAGTGTTGTCCCATGGACTGAGAGGTCCCTGTTCGATCCTCTGTCGAGGCACATGCCCAGGGTTTCGGGCTCGATCCCCATTGGGGGTTGTGCGGGAGGTGGCCGATCAATGTTTCTCTCTCACATCAATGTTTCTATGTCTCCCTTCATCTCTCTCTAAAAAAAAAAAAAAAAAAAATTTCAATAAAAACATATTAAAAAAAACAAAAAAATGCTAACTCTGTGGCGGGCACTGTGAGGGGTGCTGTGAATGAACACATGCGCCCTTGCTGTGGAGCTTAGGTTCATTTTACAGATGAGGAAACCAGGCACACAGAGTCTGAGTAATCTGCCTGGGGAGTGAGCCAACACTCCAACCTGACCCCTGGCCCCCAAACTTTAGCACTGCACACCGCTTCCTTTCAAATGCAGAAGCCCCATAACCTTGACCAGTTACATCACTCAAAGCAAATGACCAGCCTCCAAAACAAAATGTGAACTGGGAGTGAGGCCTGGACCGTCTTCAGTGTTCCCCAGACTCTTACACATCCTTCCTTCTCTCTCCACATCTCTAGAGCACTTTGGAATCTATGACTGGGTGGATTGTACTGCTCCTTTTGCTTCTCTGATTTTAAAGAGCATGTTAATGCCTTATCTTCCGTTCTCAGCAAGTGAAAATGAGCCTCAGCAAAGGGAAAAGAGCTGCCATCATCTTCCAAAAGGCTTGTGGTATAGCCATGAACAAAATTCTCCAGCATCTGGTTTCCACCGAGTGCACAGCAAGCATTCTAAGCACACAGTTATTGAGGGAACCAAGCCCCTTAGGTGTCCCCAAGCTATGTGTCTGCTGGGTTAGGAAACCTCTGAGGCCACCTGGGTTAGATTCTGCACATGAGGGGTGGTAAGAAAGCCACTGGTCCTGGCTGACCAAGCCCTAGGTACTATGCAGATATACTTTGTCAGAATGGCTGGTAAGAATACTTCCTTTCTTTCTCTCTCTTTCTCTTTACTATACTCCAACAGGGGAGGTGTGCTTCCATCTAGAAGTCCAGGAGGGAATTTGTTTCTTAGTTGAGAGGGCGTCTCTTTTAATGAGCAATGAAAATACATGAGCTCACACCTTCACAGGGGAAGTTTGATTAATGGTCAGAGTGGCTAACTTCATAGCAAGTCACTGAGGTGGGACCCACTATAGACCAGTACTCTGAACTCTTTTCCCAATAGAAGCAAAAATGTGTAATCTGGTTGGGCTTTTTCTTTTCCTTAATTTTTTTCCCCAGAAACTATCTCAGAAAGGTCTACTATACCACCTATCCTTAGAATTTAAAACATAGGCTCACAAATTTACAAAATCATCCTCACCCAACTCAAAGTAAAATGCCAACAATGAACGAACCCAGTCATTAATTCAAGCAGAGACGAATTCAACAGTGTGGCTTCTTTGGTGTGGCCATTTGGGATGAGCTGATAATGACGGGGTCCACTGTTTTTCACTAGAATAGGACACTGCAGCTGTTGAACTTTCTAGAACTCACAAATCTATAGTCTTAAAGGCATAATCCAGGAGAAAATGAAAAATTTAAATATGCAATTAAAATACTACTTTTTAAATCAATGCAAAATTAATAACAAAAGTAACTATTCTATAAGGTTTGGTTAACATAAACAGTAAATTATTTATGAATGCTTATTTTCCATGGTCCAGACCCCTCTGCTTGGAAGGCTCCGTGCCATTTTACATGGAAGACTCTTCTTGTTTATACAGGCCTCAGCTTAAATGCCACCTCCTTGGATGGGCTTCCCAATCTAAAATGGTCCCCACTCTCACTACACAAGCCTGTCTCAGTTCTCGGTACAGCACAGCACTTTCTTAATTTGCTGTCTGTTTCTCCCACTGTCAGCTCCAGGAGAGAAGGGATCTCACCCATTCTGTTCCTGGAGCTTAAAACAATACTTGTTAGCGAGCAGATGCTCAAAAAGTATTTGTCAAGTGAACAAAAGAAAATGAAATATCCTTAATAAAGTAGAATAAAAATTCTTCAACAGGGCATAATGAAACATCCACAAATCATATTTTATATATATTATGAGGTTATTAACCAAAAAGCAACTTGCAATTCAAAGGATGTTCTAATAGATCACATCCAACCAAATGCCCTGATTTTATTTAGAAACTCTGATCAATCTGAAGTTGGTTAAGTAAAAGTCCATGATTTTATCAATATTTTTTTCAATTCAGAATCTGAAAGGTCCAATGTAAACCAATCATAACATTTGACTAAGTTGCTCGATTCTACTATAAGAAACCTTACTGGAGCTTTATGTCTGGTTAAATTTACAGAGTTTAAAAAGAATGCCAGGGGTCTGTGATGATTCCCGGTGCTCCAGGCGCTCAGACCAGGGCCAGAGACTGGGGCCAGGGCCTACCAGGTTTAACACGTACTAAAGACCATCCTTACAGTCCCATCTTACTCCTAAGGGAAGGAGCTACTTCATGTGAGAACTGTATGAGAAGGCACTCTGCTCTCGTTTCTCTATGTTGACAACTAATACCATTGAAACAATTTCCCAGATATTTATATACTGTTAAAAGCCCATTACAACTAACTTAAAAGTTGTTTCATTTGGTTCAATGAATCATAAGAGGAAAGAAAGCAACTAGCCACTGTCTATATTCCCTCACAATTTGGTTGTAAGAGATTTTTTTTTTAACATTTTTTTTTATCCTCACCCGAGGACATTTTTTTGTTTTTTGTTCAGATAGAGTGGGAGGGAGAGAAAGGAAGAGAGAGAGAGAGAAACATCAACGTGAAAGGGACACATCAAGTGGTTGCCACCTGCACGACCCAACCAGGGCCAGGGACAAACAGCAACTGAGGTCTGTGCCCTTAGCGGGAACCAAACCCGGGCCTTTCTGGACCGCAGGCCAAAGCTCTAACCGCTGAGCCAAACCGGCCAGGGCTATTTTTTTTAAACATTTTAAGCAGGCATATTGTTGATTCTTTCCCCCAACACTAATGCTAAAATTATTGTAACAAATGCCTCTATGTCTTTTAGCATGTTTTAAATTACTATTAAAAATTATTTCATATTAGAAGCACCCTTCAGCCCTGGCCAGTTTGGCTCAGCGGTTAGAGCGTCCGCCTGCGGTCCGAAAAGACCCGGGTTCGGTTCCCACTAAGGGCATGTACCTCGGTTGCAGTTTGTCCCCGGCCCTGGTTGGTCGCGCGGGTGGCAGCCACTCGATGTGTCCCTTTCACATCGATGTTTCCCTCTCTCTCTCTTCCTCTCTCTCCCTCCCACTCTGTCTGTACAAAAAATGGAAAAATGTCCTTGAATGAGGATAAAAAAAAAAAAATAGAAGCACCCTTCAAATAAAAATATAGTATTTTCAAAATTAAACTTTAATAGACCTTTCCATCCATGGGAAACAAAAAGGAGGAGGGATGGATTCAAAGCAGTTTAATAGCTACACATTTAACTATCTGAAGTAGACACAATGTCTAGAGCAGTATTTGAAAACTATGTGTTGTGACCTAAAAGTAGGCTGGAAGATCAATTTAGTTTAGTGGATCACGATACGGCAGTTTACAAATGAAACAACAGAATTAAAAATTATCAGTGTGTCCTGTACATAACTGGGCATACTTACTGCTTCATGAAAGCAGAAAGTTTCAGTCATATCCGCCTGAATATATACCGGATCACAATGCTCACTGTAGTTTGCACCTTGAAAGCTGGTCTGGGCCGGAAGTTCTCTAGCTATCACCGGAAGTCTGCTGGAGCTGAGTACTGGAAGCTTCCTTCACTCAAGCCCCTACAATTCTAGTTCCATTGGTCTGGGAGGGGGCTAGAGCTTCCTATGGGAATCTGATCAGCCACCAGTCTGGGATGGCTGCTCTAGACTCTAGTTTTTTGAGTTGGTCCTCACCTGAGGATATTTTTTCCAGCGATTTTTAGAGAGAGTGGAAGGAAGGAAGGGAAGGGGGCGGAGAGAGAAACATCCATGTGAGAGATACACATCAATTGGTTACCCCCAGCAAGCGTCCAGATTGGAGCTGGGGGTCAAACCTGCAACCCAGGTACATGCCCTAGACCAGGAATCAAACTCATGACACTTCAGTGCACAGGCCAAAGTCCTGACCACTGAGCTACACCGGCCAGCTAGATTCTGGTTTTAAACTGTGGTGTAGCAAACAAAGTCCCCAGCCTTCTTCATGAGACAGTGCAACATGGGAAGAGAGGTTGCTCTGAATGAGAAGGGTTCTCCAACTCTCTGAACTACCCGTTCCCATCCCACCCCCCCTCTGGGCCTCTGAGGGCTTTCGGCAGCACTCAAGGCAATTTAGAGGCAGCATGAACATCCTGAGGGACCCAGGCCTCAGGGTCAAAGGGATAACGGGGGCCATCATCCCATCACCTATATCCACCCCTTCTACTCCCTCCTTCTCCCTGTCACTTTTATCCCTCTCTGCAACTTCATCCTGTAGTGATGTCTTTAGATACTACCTTGCTACTTCTGGTATTTGGACACAAGAGATGAATGATCCAGGGTGTGAGGTTTTTTGTTGTTAATCCTCACCCAAGGATATTTTCCCATTGATTATATTTTATTTTTAGATAGAGTGAAAGGAGGGAGAGAGGGAGGGAGAGAAAAACATTGATATGAGACACAATGATTGGTTGCCTCCTGCACAATCCCAACCGGGGCCAGGGATTGAACCTGCAACCCAGGTATGTGCCCTTGACCAGGAATCGAACTCGAGATCCTTCAGTCCGTGGGCCAACGCTCTAACCACTGAGCCAAACCAACCAGGGCAGGCATGAGGTTTTTTTTTTTTAATTTTTTAAATCCTCACTTGAGGACATTTTTGCATTTATCTTCAGATAGAGCAGGAGGGAGGGAGGGAAGAAGAGAGAGAGAGACACATTGAATGGTTGCCACCCACACAACTCCAACCAGGGCCGGGGACAAACTGCAACTGAAGTACGTGCCCTTAGTGGGAAATGAACCTGGGCCTCTCTGGTCCATGACGCGACGCTCTAACCACTGAGCAAAACTGGCCAGGGCCTTTTTTTATTTTTAATCCTCACCTGAGGATATTTTTCTATTTATCTTCAGATAGAGTGGGAGGGAGAGAGAGGGAGAGAGAGGGAGAGAAACATCTACATGAGAGGGACACATCAACTGGTTGCCTCCCACATGACCCCAACCAGGGCAGGGGACGAACCACAACCAAGGTATGTGCCCTTGACTGCAATGGAACCCACGACTCACTGGTCCGCGGGCTGACGTGCTACCACTGAGCCAAACCGTCCAGGGCAGGCGTGAGAATCACTCTGGAGCTTTCAGAAACACACACACACAGTGAGGGGCTGCTTGTTCTGTAGGTGTGGTAGGAGAGCGTGGTGGAAGCAGGTGGACAGGAGTTTGCATTTCTAACAAGCCCCGTGGGGGATTCTGACTCACAACCAGTGTCGAGAACCATGGCTTGAGCTTGCAGGCAGAGGTTCTGATCTGGTGTCAATGGCTGGGAAGAACTGTGGCAAAACATGTGTGTGCACTTGACCCTTTCTCTGAGGAGAAATGTCATAGATCCTCGAGATTTTGCAAGACCTACAAACCAGATGCTCAGGGGTAGACTCTGAACCTTGGAGAAGCTCCTTGGTGACCCACTGGAGCCCTGGGCAAGGAGGCGGAGTGGAGCGCACCTTGCGCCCGTCTCTGTAAACCTGGACTAACACCACTTCAGGCCCAGGTTGCTTCCCCCACACGTGGTGTGTGTGCGACGGCGAGCCTGGGGAGGCACTGCACGAGTGGGCAGGCGCTGCCTCTGAAAGCGCCTTTTGTAAATGCGCGTCCAGAATGAAAAGAAAGAAGATGGACAAGTCACTCACCTTGGCCAAAGGCCATGATTAAAGATGTGTCTTTAAGGTTACCTACCTGTCGACCTGCTCTTTGCTCATGGCAGCAAATGTGAAGCACTCGGTTATTCCATTGATGGCAAGCAGGAGGACATAGAGACAATAGGAACGCAGCAAAACAGGACCTACAAGGAAACAACCCACTGAGATGCCACAGCCCAATCGGGAGGCCCACATCCACCCTCAGTTTGGCTGGGTGTTCAGAGAACACCAGAGCGGGGTCATGAGTCCTGACGGTATTGTCAGTGGGTAAATGCATGCTCAAGCCTGTGGTTTTAATTATCTGGAAGGGCTCCTAGCATTCCATGGCACTAACTAAAATAAACGGCTGAAAACAAAAGGTCAAGTATGAATACATGCACAGATCTCTTGCTTAACAACTAAAAGCTTATCTGGCCAGCAAGCAAATCTTCTCGCTTTCTAAGTCAGCACAAAGAGGCTTGCCAGTTGGAGCACTCAAGGATACCGGTAGCCCTGCATGTTAAGAGAACCTCAGTGGAAAGGTCCTGAAGAAAAGACCTTGGGGAGAACAGGAGCAGCAGGAAGCTTCAGAGACAGAACACCCACAAACATGCAGGGAGACTCAGATCCCACAGTGTTACTTTTTCTATAACAAACCAATCCAGTTCCAGAGCTAAATAATGAGCTTTGAAAAAAAATCTGCTAACCAAAGATTGGAAGCCTTAAAAATGGGATTGATCCCCAGTTGAAGAGGGCCATTATTAAGAGCCAGCCAAGCAACTGGTAGTAAAATAAACAAACACCCCACCTATGACCCAGCAATACCACTCCTAGGTATCCCCCCACAGAAGTAGAATCACGTGTTCACAAAAACACTTGTACGTAAATGTCCATAGCAGTTATACATTTGACAGCCAAACCTGGTATCAATAGCAGAAAGGATAAACAAACTGTGAGCCATCCATATATAGAAACACTCAACAATCAAAGAGAAAAAACCACTGAACCATGTAAAAACATGGATGAATCTCAAAAACTTTATATTGAGAGAAAGAAACCAAACATAAAAATAAATACATAAAAATTAAAAAGAGGTCAAACATGCCCAGCTGGTGTGGCTCAGTGGTTGAGCATCAACCCATGCACCAAGAGGTCGCTGGTTCAATTCCTGGTCAGGGCACATGCCTAGGTGGTGGGCCCAATCCCCAGTGGGGGGCATGCAGGAGGCAGCCAATCAATGTTCTCTTTCATAAATGTTTCTATCTCTCTCTCTCGCCTCCTTCCTCTCTCTCTAAAAATTAATAAAGGAAAAAAATTAGCCCTGGCTAGTTTGGCTTAGTGGTTAGAGCATCGGCCCGCGGACCAGAGAGTCCTGGGTTCGGTTCCTGCTAAGGGCATGATACCTCGGTTGCAGTTTGTCCCCGGCCCCAGTTGGGGTCATGTGGGTGGCAACCACTCAACGTGTCTCTCTTGCATTGATAAATCTCTCTCTCTCTCTTCCCCTCTCTCTCCTTCCCTCTCTCTCCCTCCAGCTCTATCTGAAGATAAATGCAAAAATGTCCTTGGGTGAGGATAAAAAAAAAGAAGCCAAACACAAAGTGTCCATGTTGTGATGTTTCATTTATATGAAATTCTTTCTAAAAGCAATGCTAATCTACGGTGACAGATATCAGAACAGTGGTTACCTCTGAGGCGAAGGGGAGAGCTGGCTGGAAAGTGTTCTGAGAGAACTTTCTGGGGTAATATAAATGTTCTACATATTAATCTGAATGGTGGTTACATGGATTTACATATTTGTCAAAATTCATCAAACTATGGCCAATAGACATATGAAAAAATGTTCAAGGTCACCATCAGAGAGATGCATATTAAAACCACAATGAGGTACCCCTTCATACCTGTCAGAATGGCCACTATCAATAAATCAACAAACAACAAATATTGGTGAGGATGTGGAGAAAGGGAACACTAGTGCACTGTTCATGGAAATGCAGACAGGTGCAGACACTATGGAAAACAGCATAACGTTTCCTCAAAAAATTAAAAATGGAACTGCCTTTTGACCTGGCAATCCCACTTCTGGGATTATATCTTAAGAATACGAAAACACCAATCAGAAAGAATGTATGCACCCCTATGTTCATAGCGGTGTTATTTACAATAGCCAAGATCTAGAAACAGCCCAAGTGCCCATCAGTAGATGAGTGGATAAAAAAGCTGTGGTACATTTACACAATGGAATACTACATGGCTGTAAAAATAAGAAACTCTTACCCTTTGCAACAGCATGGATGGACCTGGAGATTATTATGCTAAGTGATATAAGCCAGTCAGAGAAAGACAACTACCATATGATCTCACTAATATGTGGAACCCAGTGAATAAAATAAACTGACAAAGTAGAACTGGAGGCATGGAGACATGGAACAGACTGACAAATGTCAGAGGGGAGCGGGGTGGGGGCCTGGATAAAGGAAGGTGAAGGGATTAGCTAAAGAACATACTGTATATGCATAGCCCATGGACACAGACAATAGTGTGGGGAGGGCCAAGGAAGGGGGGAGGGGCTGGGTGGAGGTGGGCAAGCGGGGAGGAAATGGGGGGCATCTGCAATAGAAAATTTAAATTTAAAAAATGTGAAAGAAAACCTCATCAGACTATACTCTCAAGAGCACAGCATTTTACTTTATGTAAATTAGACCTCAATAAAGAAAAAACTTAACCACTAAAAGGAAAGGGGGGGAGGGCAGGCAGACTGAGGTTCCAGAGTCTCAGAATCTGGAATTCATTCACGGTTTGCGAAAGCTGTTTGATATAAGAGATCCCTGTGCCGGTTTTATGGCAGTCAAAGGTTACAAAAGGAGTACTAACAAGGCAGCCCTGATGCCCAACCCTGCTGCCTGTCTTACATGGCCCTTTCCTGGGTTCCACATTTTATCAAGTCGTGTGCATTTCATGCCCCAAGCTGCTGCAGAAAGCAGCCCAGCCCCATGGCAGCTGAGGGACAACTCCAGGAGAGGAGACCGGGTTGCCCTGGGATGGCTCAGGGCTGTGTTCAGTGTGCTTCCTGCTTCTCTCTGTCCTCTTCTCTGGCAGACAGAGCGGGGCTCTTCTCATAACACGCACCTCTCACTTGGTCATAATGGAAAGCTAATGGCACACGTGGGTTGATCTGAAGGTGGATCACAGAGAACACAAACTCTGGCATACAACAGTGTGCCCTAATCCAGTATGACTGGTGTCCTCATAAAGAGGGCAGATTTGGACAAAGAGACACTCACAGAAGGAAGATGATGTGAAGACAGAGAAGACAGCAATGGACTGGAGTAATGCATCCATAAGTCAAGGCCCGTTGACAAACACTAGAAGTGGGAGGCAAAGGATTCCTCCTCTAGAGCTGTAGGCGTCAGAGCCTGGCCCTGCTAAAACCTTGATTTTGGACCTCTGACCTCCCAAACCGTGAGAAAATACATTTCTGTTTTAACCATCCAGTTTGTGGTACACTGTTATTTCAACCCTAGGTAATTAATATAAGGGGATAGAGAAGGAAAACATAGATTTGAAGAAGCAAGGGCAAGAGCCCTGGCCAGGGGCTCAGCTGGTTGAAGCACTGTCCTGTACTCTAAAAGGTTGTGGGTTGGATCCCCAGTTGAAGCAAGTACAGGAGGCTATGGATGGATTTTTCTCTCTCACACTGATATTTCTCTCCCTCCCTCCCTCCCTTCCTCTCTCTAAAATCAATAAAAACTTATCCTCGGGTAAGGATAAAAAATGATAATAATAATAATAATAGGGCAAGAGAGAAGCACCTAAGAGACAAATGTGAGAAATCTCAGGGAAGTTCAGCAAATGTGTTTTTCTTAAGGATAAGAAAGCTAGGTATGAGAAAGATTTCTGAGAAGAGTCTCTAGAGCACTTACAAATCCCCTAATTATATATAGTGCTGACTCCAAATACTGCAAAGCAAAACCTCAGTGCCCCCCCACAAAAGCCTGTCTATGCAGTGTCCAAATCCCACATTTGGAGATAGAAGCACAGAGGATGGAGGGACTAAGAGGCCAATTCAGGTTGCAGGTAAGTCCACTTCACAGGTGAGGACAGAAGTCAACACGCAACTGAGGCAACAGAGAGTTGTAAGTCCCGCTTTCAAAACAAAGGTGGTTGGCTGAGCCATGGAGAGGTGCTCTTCTTTTCTGATTAATTCGGGAAGACTTTCTGGAAATAGCTGTTTTGAGAGGTATTTAAATGAGCAAAAATGACTGAGGGTGCAGGCGCAGCAGTGTCACTATCTTCGGGCACAGAAAAGGCATTCAGATATGCAACACTGGTCCAAAGAGTCAGGAGCAGGGCAAGGAGATGAGGAGGAGTGGGCACAAGGGAAGGAAAGCCAGCAGGCACCCTGGGGAGACGCACTGACCCTATCAGAGGCCACAGTGGGCTTTACAGAGAGCTGAAGTTCAGTCAAAATGAGAGGCAGCTATAATGAGGAGACAATGTTAGAAAACCCTGCTGGGACAGTGGCGCTGATGCAGCCCTGGGCCAGGTGAGAGATAATGAGGGTCCTGAAGATCCTGTGGCACCCCAAACCACACGTTCTTTCCACAGACTAAGAAATCAGACCATTCTCAAGACGTATTCTCTCTGAAGGTGATACTGAGAGAATATCTTTTTGAGTCTAAAATTATTAATGATTCTGACATTGGAGACAGAATTTATTACATTAGAAATCAATCAACATTGACCCTTTTGATTAATAAATGTATTATCAAAGCTCAAAACTGGCATCAGCATCTCACTTGCGTAAAAGGACTGACTACACGATCACAGTTGTTATTTATATACCTCCTGTGATTAATTTCTCCACCAGGTGAACATAGTATGAAGGGACAGCCCTCTCCTCACGACAGTGTCCCGTGACTGGTACATTCGAGGCCATTCCAAAGAGGCAGAGCTGCTGTGAAACAGCTGGGCCCCAGTCTCCGCACGCTGACTTACTGCGGGCTTCCTCCGGAGGCCCCCTGCAGCAGCCTAGACAAAGGGCTCTCAGAGCAGGAGCCCCAGGGAGCTGCAAGTCACAGCACTGCTCTCACAGCAGGTGTTTCTCCAAACGTAACTTGTTCCTTCCCTGATACCGAAAGTCTGGACCCTTGACAGTGCGGACTCAAACATGCCAGTCACCTTGCAGCATGGTAACTGACAAAGCTCTTCACATTGAGATGGGACAGCAGAACAGAGTCTTCAGGGTTCTTGTCTAGTGACTTGAGGAATTAAAAATAGACACCAGCCTATGGCCCAGAGCATTTTGAAACTGGTGATGTCCCCAGGGCTTAGCAAGTGCTGTGAGATACTTAGTGGCCTGAGCACCAGGTGTTTCAAAGTTCAACACAGTCAATACTTTTCTCCTGCAAAAACCGTCACTGGATTATATGTACAATTTTATTTGCCGAGATCAATTTTATTCTCTGCAAATGGCTCTGGGTTATCCTTCAAAGGCTTTTATTCATCAGGCCGTGAGATTTATGTGAAATTTACTATCTTCAGATGTGTTCAGTACCAAGTGCAGGCTCATTAGAACCTGCTGTCTGCTTTCCTAACCCTCACCCCAAAGGAGCACAGGGAAGCACTTGGCAAAACAGTTCAGGCCTAATAGGAAAACTGGGGATTCTTTTTTTATTTTTTAATCCTCACCTGAGGATATTTTTCCACTGATTTTTGGAGAGTGGAATGGAGGGAGGGAGAGAGAGAAACATCAGTGTGAGAGACACACATTGATTGGCTCCCACACAACCCCAACTGGGACTGGGGATAGAACCCAAAACCCAGGCACAAGTCCCTAGCTGTGAATCAAACCCACTACCTCTTGGTCTGCAGACCAACGCTCTAACTGCTAAACCAAACTGGCCAGGGCCAAAGATTCTTTTTTTTGTTGTTTTAAAGCCTCACCCAAGGATACTTTTCCATTTATCTTCAGATAGAATGGGGGTGGGGGGAGGAGGAGGGAGGGAGAGAGAGAGAGAGAGAGAGAGAGAGAGAGAGAGAGAGAAACATCAGTATGAAAGAGACACATCAATTGACTGCCTCCCACACGACCCCAACCAGGGCTGGGGACCGAACCACAACCGAGGTATGTGCCCTTGACCAGAATCGAACCCATGACTCTTTGGTCCTTGGGCCAACACTCTAACCACTGAGCAAAACTGGCCAGGGCCCAAGGATTCTTTTATAAACTTTAATCCTCACCAGAGGATATATGTATTTATTGATTTTTTTAGAGAGAGGAAGGGAGAAAGAGAAACATTGATGTAAGAGAGAAACATCATTCAGTTGCCTCCTATACACACCTCAAATGGGTATCAAACCCACAATGTAGGTATTTGCCCTGACTGGGAATTGAACCCACAACCTTTTTGGTGTGGTTCCCAACCTGTGGGTTGCGACCCCTTTGGGGGTCAAATGACCCTTTCACAGGGGTTGCCTAAGACCATCGGAAAACACATATTTCCGATGGTCTTAGGAACCAAAACACAGCTCCTCTATCAATCTCCAGGCGGGTCCGCCCACATGCAGATAAGCCCACATACAACTTGAGGAACTGTATTAAAGGGTCGCAGCATTAGGAAGGTTGAGAACCACTGGTGTACGAGATGATGCTCCAAACAACTGAGCCACCCAGCCAGGGCAAGCCAAGGATTCTTAACAACTCCAGCTGAACTCAGGGAATAGATCAACCTGGTGCCAAAGCCTCCAGCAGCTCCATCCCAGCCACTGACAATTCTCCCGAATTGACACAAATTTCAACCGTGTGCACAAGTTTTAGAATTTTGTAAGACTCTCCTACTTCTGTTCAGAAATTAGAACAAGTCTGGCAGCTCTTGTGCATACCTGATCCCGAGCTAAGCATGGCCCCTCCATAGATATCCAAAGCCAGCTGAGAGTAGGCGAAGCCAAAAACGGTGATGGTCAGGCCTGCCAGCAGGGCCAGCTTGAGCAGGGACTCCAAAACAGCCGCAGCCACAGCAACATCCTCCTGGTGTCCGGGAGAGGGAAGGAAGTTGGGTGAATTGAGCTCAAGACAAACTTCCCATCTGGCCTCCCCCTGTGCTGTTTCACGGATCCCTCTTTCGGGTGGCGAGGGGCACCACTGCTTCTCTGCAGCCTGCATTTGCTTGTCAGTCAGCAAATGAAGGGGAAAGACCATGTGTGCCTCCTTCGGGAGTGCAGAGGAGTTTAGTGTTTAACTCACTTAGGATCAATTATTTCAAACGCTGCTTAGGAAACATTCACTTTCCCCTGATATTTATTCTTAAATGGGATAGAAAATTTCTACATTGCTAGCTAGCTTTGCCAGTGTGCTTCTCCTGACAAACATCTCCAAATCCTGAGGTTCCTGTCAATGTATTTAGGAAAATATTCCTAAGTCAAATTGAGACTCATATGAGCTCATTGTGAGATATTATACTTCAACTATATTTTGCAAAATGTCTTCTAAGACATGTAAGAGGCTGGCTTAGCTTGCTTTTAACTCTAAAATAAGCCAGACATTTTCAATGGTTTTAGAAAAAGGGAAGTTTATACAACCAAATACTTCTGGATTAAAATCTCTTCTGTATTCCCCAACCAGAGCATGTAGAGTCTCATGGTCAGAATGTAGCTCCGGGCACTTCACAGTCCTTAAGAAGCTTAAACAAACAGGTGTGGTGAGAGAAACAGAATGACCAAGTCCTTTCCTCCCCAGGTTCTAGGTCAGCCTCGCCACAGTCTCTGTAGCCCTCGGCTCGCCTCGGGGTCTTACAGCTAACACCACGGGAGGGGATCTGTGCTGCGCTGGGGACGCCATCGAGAGTTCTGAGAGGGCTGGGTCCAGAGGAGGATCACAAAGAGGGACAAAGGGTGAAGAGAAAAGCCCAGTCAGCGAGAAAGGGAGAAGTCTGTGAAAGAAGAAGCGAAGGGTCCTGCCATCATGAATTCAGAGTGTGTAGAAAAATGAAATCCAGAAGAAAATTTCAGATCAGACAGAAGGGAATCAGGTGGCTCCACATTTCTGTCAATTTGCAATTAGAGAGAGAATTCATTTGAGCTGGCAACAGAAGAACCAAGACTACCTGCTTCTGACGTGTGGCATCCTTTTCTCTCTCCAGTACCTTGGCAAAGAATATATAAAAACTCTCCTCTACCGGCTGGAAAATTAATCTGGCCACGAGGGAGCCAAGATTATTTACTATATCATATACACCTACAAAACAAAAGGAAGAAACAACAATCCTACTGGGTTTCCCCTTTGAATTTTCTCAGCAGTATTAGCTTTTTTCTAATTCAATTTTTTAAATAAAACTTTTTGAGATAACTAGAGAGTCACATGTAGTTGTAAGAAATAATAGATCCAGGTACTCTTTACCCAGCTTCCCTAAAGAGTAACATCTTGCCCTGGCTGGTTTGGCTCAGTGGTTCGAGTGTCAGCCTGTGGTCCAGAGAGACCCGGGTTTGGTTCCTGCTAAGGGCATGTACCTCGGTTGCACTACGTCCCCGGCCCTGGTTGGGTCGTGTGGGTGGTGACCACTCGATGTGTCCCCCCACTTTTTTTATATATCCTCACCTGAGGACACTTTTTAATTTTTTGTTCAGATAGAGTGGGAGAGAGAGAAAGGAAGAGAGAGAGAGAGAGAAAGAAACATCGATGTGAAAGGGACACATCGAGTGGCTGCCACCCAGGGCTGGGGACAAACTGCAACCGAGGTACATGCCCTTAGCGGGAACCGAACCCGGGTCTCTCTGGACCGCAGGCCAACGCTCTAACCACTGAGCAAAACCATCCAGGGCTCGATGTGTCCCTTTCACGTCGATGTTTCACTCTCTCTCTCCCTCCCACTCTATCTGAACAAAAAAATGGAAAAATGTCTTGGGTGAGGATAAAAAAAAAAGAGAGAGAGAGTAACATCTTGCACAACTCTCGTACAATGTCACAACCAGAATACTGACACTGATAATCAAGATAAAGAACACTTCCTTCACCAGCACTTTTTTTTAAATAAAAGTCACTAATGCCAAGTTGATTTTTTCTATTTTATTTCCACTACTCTGAGGTTATATTAAAAAATAAATACCCGCCCTGGCCGGTTTGGCTCAGCGGTTAGAGCATCGGCCTGCGGTCCCGAGAGACCCGGGTTCGGTTCCCGCTAAGGGCATGTACCTCGGTTGCAGTTTGTCCCCGGCCGTGGTTGGTCGTGCGGGTGGCAGCCACTCGATGTGTCCCTTTCACATCGATGTTTCTCTCTCTCTTCCTCTCTCCCCCTCCCACTCTACCTGAACAAAAAATAGAAAAATGTCCTCAGGTGAGGATAAATAAATAAATAAATAAATAAATACCAGCCCTGGCCAGTTTGGCTCAGCAGTTAGAGCGTCAGCCTGCGGTCCACAGAGACCGGGGTTCGGTTCCCGCTAAGGGCACGTAACTTGGCTGCAGTTTGTCCCTGGCCCTGGTTGGGTCGTGCGGGTGGCGGCCACTCGATGTGTCCCTTTCACATGGATGTTTCTCTCTCTCTCTTCCTCTCCCTCCCTCCCGCTCTATCTGAATAAAAAATAAATAAATACAAAAAAAGTATAGAGACCTAGATTGTCACACAAACATGGGGTGACTCTTTGTAACTGTGATGATCTCCTTTTTCTCTTCTCTTCGCACCTCCCACTCCCCAAATGAGCATCAGAGCTCTGCAGAGTGCAGGGTAAGGGCGGGTCTCAACAGAGAACCTGCCACCCAAGTCACAGGAGAAGGAAGAGTCAGTATACTGCATATACTTGTAGGGGCCTACAATTTTCAATCTTCAGGATTCATGTTTTTATAATCTTTTTTTAAAAAATAATACTTAGTTTCATTTTCATTAAACATAACAAAATGCAGAGAAAAATATTAGAAAGTACCTACTAGCAGTATTCCCCTTTCATTAAAACATGACAGAATTTCACCTTACCCTGATCGCCAAAATTTAACACATTTAAAAATGTCATCACATATCGCTCCCCTGCAAATAGAAAAGCAAAATTTAGCATTTTGAATGCACGTTATTTTCATGTTTCCTTTTCTCTTGTTGTCTATCAACTTTTCCCATTGGCAAATATTCTCAAAGGAGAAAATTAGATAATCAATTTAAAAAAACATTCTTCGTCCTAGTGTTGATTTTATATAATCTCAAAATAGTAGCACTTTAGAAAGTGCTGGGGGATTTATTGACAGCCAATCTCTAAGCCAGTTTGAAACAAAACAAAATCAATAAAACCAGTCTGATAAGGTTTTTAAAAAATTTTTTTTTCTTTATTGATTTTAGAGAGAGGAAAGGAGAGAGAGATAGAAACATCGATGAGAGAGAACATCAATCAGCCACCTCCTGCATGTCCCCCACTGGGGATCGGGCCCACCACCTGGGCATGTGCCCTGACTGGGAATCGAACCTGCAACCTCTTGGTGCATGGGTTGAGGCTCAACCACCAGGCCACACCAGCCAGGCTGATAAGGTGTTTTTTTTTAAGTATGGAGAGATTACTAAAATATTAATGAAAATAACTGTCCCAAGTTTTAAAGGAGATCAGATCATTTGAGAGTGAATTCTACAAAATGAAAGGTCCATGGTTGCATGCAGACTCATTAAAAGTTTCCTCTCCGGGTGGGGAAAGTTCCATGGAGGCTGGCAAGGCTCTGGAACCGAAATTCATGATTTAAATCTAAGTCTAATGCTTTCAAGGTGAAGATACCAGCCCAGAATCCCACTCCCCCATGCCAATCCTCATATTATCTGTGAATGGAAAGAACTGACCACTATGGTGATAGAGCACTGAAGAGTGCCCACAGCCCTACAGAGCAATTCTCACCTCCTAGCAACTCTCTTTGTCTCTCTCTCTTTCTCTCTCTTGCGCTCTCTCTCTCTCTCTCTCACACACACACACACACACACACACACACACCATTAAGAGACGAGAAGCAGTGATATTCTCTCCTCCCTGGCCCTTGCCTCCCTACAATCTCCCAGCCACTGCATCTGCAGCAGGACTTCCATGGGCCCTCCCAGGCACTGGCCAAATGGCTGAACTCACTCCCAACTGCATCTCTGCACTGTTCCAATCCATCCTTAATGATAACGGTTGCAACTTTGGTAAATCCAGCTCTTCAGTCAACCCCTGCTTTCACACCTTCAAATGGTTCCTTAATTCTGCATTTGAAGCTTTTTATAAACTAACTCCCATGCTATCTCTTTGGACTCCCTTCACCAGCCTCATCCCCACCTCCCACCATCACGGGGTCATACTCTGCTATATCTACTAGGTTTTAGCCTCTCCAGCTGCTCTAAGTCAGGCTGGCTCTTGGCTTTCTCACCACCTGGAATGGCATTTCTGCAGGCAACTCCTTGAGTTCTGGCACAATCGGCATCTCCTTCCTGTACTCTGTAAGCTCCCTGAGGGCAGGAACCATGTCTCAGTCATCTCTGTGTTCCCGGTTTTCTAGCAGAGTGCCAGGAAATGAGAGGGCACTCAAGAGATGGCTGGCGAATGAGCTCATGTTTCCAAGTACAGTCCTCACAGCTCTCTATCAGAGTTAACCACACAAACGTGCATCTTTGATGAGAGAATGAGCTCCTTAAGACTGTGGCCTGTTACTCATTCATCTGTGTATTCTCAGCACCTGGCACACAGTGTTCAGGAAATGTGGGGGCAGGAGGTAACAGCATATGCATTTTTGCTACTACAATGAATGGTTTCAACATTTTTAGAGCTGTAGTTTTGAGATAAAAAGAATCTGGGGGTTCTTGTCAAGCCACTTCCTTATTTTGCAGCCATGGAGATGGAGGCCTTGAGGAGTTCCTAATGGTCCTCTGACAGTCAGGCCAGGGTGACCCAACCGTGGAGCAAGCAAGCGAGCAAGCAAGCAATCGGTGCTACTTTCAGGCCTAGGTCAGGAGGCTTGAGTGTGTGGCTAACTTACATCTGCTACTGCAAACACATGTCTAGTCACTGCAATCCAGACAGCCATTGCTTGGGCTGGATCCATTCCTCACCTCATTTAAACTGCTCTGGCCAGTGTTGCTCAGTGGTTAAGTGTCGATCCATGCACCATGAGGTCGCCGGTTGGATTCCCTGTTAGGGCACACGCCCAGGTTGTGGGCCCCGATCCCCAGTGGGGGGCGTGCAGGAGGCGGCCAATCGATGTTCTCTCTCACTGATATTTCAATCTCTCCCTCTTCCTTCCTCTCCCTTATTAAATAAATAAATACATAGCTCCTAAAACTTTGGGAGGAAAAAAGTGCATATAGGCAACTGCCTTTTCCAAAACTATCACAATACACAATTGCAGTACAGATACCTTTCTTTACCAGCAAATACTTGCTGAATATCTATCATGTGCCAGGCCCAGTAGGGCGCTGGGGAGACAGGTGAACAGCAACACCTTCTATGCTCTCAAGAAGCTTAGAGTGCCTTGGCCAGTTTGGCTCAACGGTTGGAGCATCGGCCTGCAGTCCAGAGAGCCCAGGTTCGGTTCCTGCTATGGGCATGTACCTCTGTTGCAGCTTGTCCCCCGCCCTGGTTGGGTCATGCAGGAGGCAACCACTCGATGTGTCCCTTTCAGGTTGATGTTTCTCCCTCTCTCTCTCTTCCTCTCTCTCCCTCCCATTCTACTTGAATAAAAAAAAGAAAAAAAAAAAAGAAGCTTAGAGTTAAGGCACCTCCACTCAGCTCTCTGAAGGCTTCTGACCCATACTTTCCCTAGAAGTCCTGCAAACAGTTTCATTTTTTTTGTTAATCCTCACCTGGGCTATTTTTCCACTGCTTTTTAGAAAGAGAGAGACATCAGCCCTGGCTGGTTTGGTTCAGCGGTTAGAGAGCCGATCTGCTGTCCAGAGAGACCCGGGTTTGGTTCCCACTAAGGGCACGTACCTCGGTTGCAGTTTGTCCCCGGCCCTGGTTGGGTCGTGTGGGAAGCAGCCACTCAATGTGTCCCTTTCACGTCGATGTTTCTTTTTCTCTCTCTCCCTCCTACTCTATCTGAACAAAAAATGGAAAAATGTTCTCGGGTGAGGATAAAAAAAAGAAAGAGAGAGAGACATCAACATGAGAGAGACACATGGATTGGTTGTCCTCCGCATGACCCCATCCAGGGCCGGGGACAAACTGCAACCCAGGTACATGCCCTTGACTGGGAATCAAACCCTCAACCCATCGGTCCTCGGCCAGGGCCAGCTTCACTTTGTAATGGCAATGTTATAGGCTCAGGCTGGAAATATGTACTCTCAAAGCTCAGAGCCCTCGGACACCTCCTAGTTCTACCCCTTAACTCAGATGGGAAAAGTGAGGCTTATGAGTTATTTTCCTCTGGACATATAATTAGTAAAACATAAAGACAGAGGGAGGGTACAGACTGACAATCCCCAGAAGAGAGGGGGTAGGGGAGAGATAAACCACAGAACTTATATGCATGAACAATGGACATGGACAACAAAGCTGGGGACAGGGCGGGGAGGGAGAGGGAGGGGGGGATTAAGGGGGGGGAAAGGGAGAAACATCTGTAACAAAAATAAATTAATTAATTAAATTTAAAAAAAAGAGGGAGGAAAAGAATGTAAGATAATAATGATGGTTGTAGAGTGCTAGAATTATTGAAAACTTTTTATTTTCCTAAATTTTCATAATGGAGTTATATTAGTTTTATAATTAAAATATAATTTTTGAAATGATGTAAAAAGATGTTCAGTAATGGATATATAGGTGTATAGACATATGAAATGTATAGAGAGAAACTACTACTTTCAGCAGCTTGCTGAAATAACAAGGTATACTTCTAGCTTCTTGGTGGTCCTCGGCATCAAGAGCTCTGTCACTGTTACACCAAAAAGCCTTAGGAAGTTAAAAGACTGACCAAACTCTTATAAGGGTAAACCTGCCCTGGCCAGTTGCTCAGTGGTTAGCGTCAGCCCGAGGACCAGAGAGTCCCGGGTTCAGTTCCCACTAAGGGCACGTACCTCGGTTGTGGTTTGTCCCCGGCCCCAGTTGGGGTCACGTGGGTGGCAACCAGTTGATGTGTCTCTCTCACACCGATGTTTCTCTCCCTCTGGCTCTATCTGAAGATAAATGCAAAAATGCCCTTGGGTGAGGATAAAAGAAAAAGGTAAACCTTACTGTTTAAGAAAATAAGAAAATAAAATGATGAAAACCTGGTTCTTAAACAAGTTTTGTTTGTTTTTGGTAATCCTCACTTGATCTTTTTCCACTGATTTTTTTTTTTTTTTAAGATAGAGTGGAAGGGAGGGAGGGAGAGAGACAAGGAAGGAGAGAGACAGAAAGAGAGACATCAATATGAGAGAAACACATGGATTGGTTGCCTCCCGCACGACCCTGACCAGGACTGGGGATCAAACCTACAACCCAGGTACATGCCCTTGACCGGGATTCGAACCTGTGACCTTTTGGTCTGAGGGCTGATGCTCTAACTGCTGAGCCAAATCGGCCAGGGCTGGTTCTTAAAAAAGCTTAAAAGAAAAGAGAAGTGTATAAAAAGCTAGAATAGGATAATGAGACTACAGATAGTTTTCTCTATTTTTTAATTTTTCTATACTTGATATAATATTTTTATAATACATTTATTTAAATGATATAACATGGGTTTTGAGATTCAGACTTGGATTCAAATTAAGTTGTTCCTCATTACTATAAGACCCTGAAGAAGTTATATAACCTCAATGACCCTCAGTCTCTTCATCCATAATAAATAAAGACAGTATCTTTCTTACAAGGCTGTTGAGAGATTAGACAAACTAAATAAAAGCTCGTTTCCCTCTCCTTTTTGAGGTTCCTCCGCCCAGCAGGTGGTCTGGATCTAAGTGACCAGGAGTTCTGTGGAATCCCCTTACTTATACTATGGTTTCCTAACTGCTCTGGGTGACCTTTTACTTACCTTCTGTCAAAATCTGTTTCAAGAAAGACTGTTTGAAAAAACTCCAAGTCAATTTAGCCTCTTTCCAATTTACAAAAGCCTAAAAGAGAAAACAAACAAAAAAAATCGCAGGCTTTACAAGTCTAAGAGTACAATAATGCTACATGAGAGGCAAATTCATTTTGGTCCCTAAATCCCAACTTGGATAGTCCCCACTACTTTGTCATTGAATTCTAAGCACATAGATATCCAACAAATACTGGCAAAGAATGTACGAAGAGAAAAGAATAAACATGAAGGCAAAATCTCTAGGTAGAACAGCTCCCCCCCGTAACGGGCCTGCCCAGGATTCATGCACTGAGACCTCTGATGAACTGTGCTGTCCCCTTGCTGCTACCCAGGCAGTAAGCTGACCACATCTCGCAATATAGCTCACTGTCAATTCTTTCCTTAAAAAATGTCTGAAGCATGCCAAGCTGCAAAACGAGTTCTGCTCCATATACTCCATGTCTTAATGCTATATTTAGCATCTAGGATCCCTTTACATAAAGTATATAAGCTTTGCTTTTATATTTCAAAAGAAGTCAGGCTTCTCATGTCAGTTAAACCACTCAGAATTGATATGACAGAAGAAAGGAAAAAACAAAATCAAAACTTCTAACATGGCTCTTCCAAAACTCCCAGGGGTCCTTAGGAAGGGCAGAGGTCAACCTGTAACAGACAGGAAGCCTCAATCAAAGCCAGAGAGCTGACCACAAAGAGGAGGATTGAGCAGCTAGCTGGACACGACTTCATTTTTTTCTATTTCGCCCCAGTACCCTCTGAGGTTTCCTCCTCTATCACAAAGGCATTCTGGATCCCTAAATGTTCAATCTATGTGTTAGGTTCGTAATCTCAGGGGAACTGCATTTTGAAAAGTTCTTGTTAATTCTAAGTGATAACTTCTGAAAAGTGGGATTTCAGGGGGCTCTTTGGGAGGAAAGGGGTGAATCACAAAGGCCAAGACCACTCCACCTCTCCGAAAGGTCAACTTTAGCTACAGAAGTTAACCTAAGGGCAAACTTGGAACCTGTCCAGTCACATGGGCCCTGCTCTTGGCCCAAAGCCCATCTGCACAGAACAGGGCTATCCAGGAGAAACATAATACAGGACACATACGTCATTTTACATTTTCTAGCAGCCACAGTGAACAGTAAAAATAAACAAGTTAATTATATATAAGAAATTAATTTTAATATATTTAATCCAAAATATTATCATTTCAAAATATAAAAAAATATTAGAGGTATTGCACATGATTTACTGGACTGTCTTTGCAGTCCAGTGTGGATTTTGCACTTACAGCTCATCTCAACTCCAAATGCTCCACAGCCACATGTGGCTGGTGGCTCCACTTGGAGCTGCGCCAGTCCAGAGTGCCCCTGGAAAGCAAGGGTCATTTCCAGTCTCCTCACCCCTTGATTTCAGATCCTTTCTTCCAGACACTGAAAGAACTAGCCTGAATCCTCCCAAATCACACTTCCTTCAGGGCATCACTGGACCTGGAGCAGATGCCAGGGATAGCTCTAGTTTAGGAGTAAAGCTTTCCCAGTGAGAAGGAACTGGGCATCTCCTTTCCCCAGAACAAAGGGCGCCAGACTACCTACCACCACCAGGGGGCACTGTGGACCACGTCATGTTTGGGGTACTGATCCTGCCCAGTCAGGAGCCGTGGGCACAGACAGAACCTTCTTTCTTACATTCCCCTTGCCAGGTGATCCTCTACTCTAGGGTGGCTCTGCACAGCAATACCTGTGCTCTTCAAGGAAACAAATAGTTACAGCTGCCCCACGAGGCCCTTCTGAAGCCTGCTGGTAGGCTGTGAATGGGTTTGGGAAGATGACTGAGTTCTTTTAAAGCAAAGTTCTTTAGCAGAGTGAAATCATGCCAGTATCTCTGATATGATACCTCATACTTGAGCATTCCTTTCTCCTAATGCCTTCAATTTAAATAAACCCATGCCCTGGCCAGGTGACTCAGTTGGTTGGAGTGCCATCCTGTGCACCAAAAAGGTTGTGGGCTCGGTTCCTGGACAGGGCACATAGACAGGTTGCAGATTTGATCCCTGGTCGGGGCACATTTAGGAGGCAACCAATCAATGTTTCTCTCACACTGATGTCTCTCTCTCTCTCTCTCTCTCTCTCTTTCTCCCTTCCCCTCTCTCTAAAACTAAATAAAAACATGTCCTCGGGCGAGGATTAAAAAAATAAAAAAATAAATAGACCCATGGTTCGAAAGGAATGGCCATATTGCTTACTATGTCCAAAATGTCCACTAAGGACAAAGAGGCGGGAATTCTGATCAGAGATTAGGTTTCTTTTCAGAGGCTTCTGCTAAGTAGAAAAGAAATGCATTATTCGGGCTTTTACAAAACATTTTGTTCAGAGTGGATTTGCCATGTGGGGTGGTCAAAAGAGGCCTATTTCTTATGGGCTAGGTTGGTACTGCTGAACTGGTCTACAGGCTGTGAATTTCTCAGAGTCCCCTGACCAACAAGCCATTCCACTGCCTCGCTGCACTGACGGAGAAACTGAAACGTGGATGGAGAAAGGCGATAGGCAGGACCTCCAGGAGAGGTCTGGCACCGGAACTCTGGGGCTCACTGTGCTTTCATCTGAGTCACTTTCCACCCCCCCCCCCCTTTTTTTATCCTCACCTGAGGACATTTTTTCATTTTTTGTTCAGACAGAGTGGGAGGGAGAGAGGAAGAGAGAAAGAAACATCGATCTGAAAGGGACACATTGAGTGGCTGCCACTCGCACGACCCAACCAGGGCCAGGGACAAACTGCAACTGAGGTATGTGCCCTTAGCAGGAACTGAACCCAGGACTCTCTGGACGGCAGGCCGATGCTCTAACCGCTGAGCCAAATCGGCCAGGGCCCCAAACTCTTTTGACTCAGGATGCTCCGACCAGTCAAATCCTAACCTCACTGAGCCACCAGGGAGTCTGTGGCCACTGTTCTGTCCCATGACCTCCACTGCTTCCAAACCCCACACAGCACTCATTCCTTTCCCTCTTGCTCCAGGGCTATGGACTCTGCCCTGGCTTTGCCCATGCTTCCATCTCCACCCTCCTACTGGTCTCATTGCTTCTCATCTGAACTATTGCCACTGCCTCCTTGTGAGATTTTCCACTTCCAACCTTTTCTCTAGCCCGTCCTTCTCATGGTGGGCTTTGGGCTTTGGAGTCAAGCTCAGAGACTGGGGCTCAACTGCAGCTCCCAAGCTATTAGTGCAAAAGCAATGGGCAAAATACTTAACTTTGCTAAACCTCAATTTTCTCATCTACAAAATGGGATAAGAAGTCCTATCTGCTGGAGCTCATTGAATGACAGAAAACAAGACACTCAATAAACGTGTAACAGAGGGTAAGCTCCCCAACACAAGCAATCAGATCCTGGCACTGTTCAAAACCTTTCATTAGGCTCCCCAGCACTGAGGCCACCACCACCTGGTGCTAGCCCAGCAGGCCATAACCTCCTTCCACCTTTTGCTTCCTCTTCCCTCCCCAACTGTTCATCCAACCTAACTACCCCAGTCAATCCCAATTCCAACATAATGATGGGCATATAATAGGCCCTGAGCAAAGGTTCTTCCTTTCTGAAGCCACAAATGTGCACTTCCACCACACACACACACATTCACCTTTGCCCACCCATGTGCCAAGTCCCAGCTCAAAAGCAGCTTCTTCCATAAAGCCTTCCTTGATACTCCCAGATGGAATTCATCTGTTCTTTCTCTGTATTTCTATTTTGTTAACACCGAACACGAACGAACGAACACACACACACACACACACAATGTCTTACAGTGTAGTCAGCTGAGTACACATCTTAACTCCAGTAGGTAAGCTGGCCAGGCTCGGTACAGGTGGACCCTAGGGAGCCTCAGGGGAGGGGACTTTGCCGCATGCTTAGTCCAGCTGTGGCAAGTCGCAGAAGCTCCAGGCAAGAGAAGCAATCTGAGTCCTAAGCCTCTAAGCCTGCAGATGAGGAACTGTGTATCCCAAAATTGCCATGTTGATTGAGGTTAAAGGTAAAATCTAGTTGATCAGAAGGGAGAAATTTTATCTAACAGATCAGAACGTATCTGGTTTTGTTACATAAATCTGTTTTTTTTTGAAAAGTTGTAGAGCAAGATTCCGTAAGTTCTGAGACTAAAGTCCCAAATATTTTACTACTCTTTAAAGGACTCACAAAAGAGAAATAAGGAGAAGTCCAGTCAGAGCCTTACCTCAACCAAGCACACCACGTCCAGCCAGCAATCAGGCAGGGGAAGAGGGAAAGTGGGCCAGCCCAGAATGGAGCAGTACACAAAGGAGCCAAGCAGAGGCCGGCAGTATGACATCACACATGCAGTTCCGGGCCATAGACAGCAGCACCGACCCCACAAGAATCAGGAAATAAAGGTCAGATGGACTGAGAGTTGAAGAATTGAGTAGAAAAAGATTATGCCTCGCTCCCACATGTTAGCATCAAGAATCCTCAGCCCTGGCCGGTTTGGCTCCAGTTGGAGCATTGGGCTGCGGACCACAGAGTCCAGGGTTCAGTTCCCACTAGGGGCACGTACCAAAAAAAAAGAATCCTCAGAGGTCTACATCGGAAAGTGGATTACCTGGAAGACAGGCCTGATACAAGATGAGGGGACCCTGCAGGGGCCACCCCTGCTTCCTCAGCACTCTGGAATATCTGTGCTAGAGCGCAATCCTGGGAAAAACCAAGAGACAGCAGAACAGAGAGAGTGAAACACAGCGGTTCCAGCCTGTGCTCTGCTGGGATTCCAGCCACTCCAGGCTCCTGTCCTTGCTCTGACCCTCACCTTGGGCAGGTATTTAGTCACTAAGCCTCAGTTTCTCAACTGTAAAATATAAACAATAGTGTCAGCCTCACAGAGTTGTTATAAATAAGGGCATGTAGAATACTCGGCATAGACCTAGCACACTGGTTCTCAACTGGGGGCAATTTTGTCCCCCAGGGGACATTTGGCAGAGTCTGGGGACACTGTGGGGGTGGTATAACTGGGGGGTGATAGCTACTGGCATCTAGTGGGTAGAAATCGAGAATGCTGCTTAACATCCCACAATGCACAGGGCAGCCCCTCCAACAAAGAATTATCCAGCCCAAAATGTCAATAGTACCAAGATCTAGAAACCCTAACTGAGCACATAGCAAGCACTCAATAAATATGAGCTATTAAATTCTCTTTACAATAATAATAATAACAACAATAAACAATCAAGTTGTAGTTTCTTTCCCTGAAGGATAAGAGACAAAAACACACTACTTACTCCACTTCTCAGAATACTGGGCAACAGATCTGTCATTCTGGAGACAGGAAGAGTTTGCTGCTTGGTTGATTTTGGGAAACCTAGCAACTTTTTGAAATAAATAACATAGCAGAGCACCAGAACTGCAGTATAGGAAAGCTGAAAGAAAGAAAATAATGAGTTTAAATCACATGTTTTAGTATAGGCATAGTTAAGATATGCCCACAAATTTTACCCCAAGGGCCTTCTCTTGAGCAGTGCCTCACCCTCTGGTCTGTTCACTGAGACCCAGTCCCACTGCAGCATCTCTGGGGAAAGTGTTCCAAATACTTCACTTGACTAGAACACAATTTCCAGACAGATATTCACTAGTGCCAACTGCCATACCAGTGTCAGATATATTCTCAAAGAATTTGCATTTGGCAAAAACAAAAAAAAAACAAAAAAACCACACCAAAAACAGCTCTCCTGCTTTGATAGCACACTGTGAGGATCCATGTGTATCCAGAGACCTGCCATCCTCTAGGTCTGGGGATTTTCCATAAACCCTAGAACCTGTAACATTATAATTACAAGACAGAATTGAGCTGCTGGCTCTCTCCTTTCTGCCCAGTGCATGGTCAGGGCAAGAACTATTACAGGATGGGGAGGGAAGGGTGGAATGATAAGAGAGCCCACACTCCTTCCACCCACCTGGGACACAGGATGGCTTTTGGCCAGGCAGCAGCTGGGGTTTTATTTGCAGTTTGGGAGGAGTATTCAAAGACCTCCTTTTCCCAAGCTCCTTCTACCCTCTTTCCCCCTGAAAACAGCAGTGCACACTAGATCAAGAATGAATGGGACCTCCAGGCCCCTCTTTCAATCTGGAAACATCTATAAGGAGAGGCTCAGAGCAAGGACAAAGAGTAGTAGTGTAGCAGGTTTAGGCTCCTCTGCTGTCCATGCCTGTCCCATCTATGCCTGCCATCCACTGTCCTCCTCCTCCTCCTCCTTCTTTTTTTTTCAGTTTTATTGAGAACTAATTAGCATACATCGCTGTATAAGTCTTACAGCATGAAGGTCTGATTTACACATATTGTGAAATAATTACCACAATAGGTTTAGCTAGCATCCATCTTTTCATATAAACACAATAAAAAGAAAAAAGCCCTGGCTGGTGTGGCTCGGTTGGTTGAGTGCGATTCCATGCAACAAAAGTCACTAGTTCGATTCCCCATCAGGACACATGCCTGGGTTGTGGGCTCAATCCCCAGTGGTGGGCATGCAGGAGGCAGCCAACTAATGTTTCTCACATCGATGTTTTTTTCCCTCTCTCTCTCTTCCTTCCTCTCTCGCTAAAATCAATAAAACATATTTTTAAAAAAATGAAAGAGAAAGAAAAGAAAAAAAGGAAAAAAATTCTTCTTCTGATAAGAACTCACAGAAATTACTCTCTTAACAACCTTCCTATATATCATACAGCAGTGTTAGTTATAGTCATGTTGTATATTATACATCTAGTACCTATTTATCTAATCACTAGAAGTCTGTACCTTTGACCACCTTCCTCCAATTCCACCCGCACCCCCCCCCCCTTCTTTCATTCCTGCAAGCCTTTTAAGACACAGCAGCACTGCTGTGAGCTATACCACCTGCTGCCAACACCCTGGGATAAGCACCCTTTTTCCAGCTTACTTCCCCACCTCTCTTCATCTTCCCACAGAGCAGGGCCTGGGGAAACAGAAACAACCTAGAGTAGTCTTCATGCAGCGCAGCCTAACTACATGATCCCTCCTCTTTATTCTATTGAGAAAAATTTACATAACATAACGCTGACTATTTTAACCACTTTAAAGCATGCAATTCAGTGACTTTTAGTACATTCACAGTGTTGTACAACCACCATCACTATCTAATTCCAGAACATTTCTATTACTCCAAAAGGAAATTCTGTACCCATTAAGCAGTCATTCTACATTTCCCCCATTCCCTGGCAACCACTAAGCTGCTGTCTCTCTGAACTTGCCTATTCCAGATATTACATTTTTTGTTGTTGCAATTTTTATTAATTTATTTTTATTACAGATGTTTCTCCTTTTCTCCCCCTAGACACCCTCCTCTGGATCCTGCCCCTGCTTCCCCCTCGCCCCCGCATTGTTGTCTACGTCCATTGGTGACATATTTACATGCACATAAGTTTTTTGGTTTAACTCATCCATCCCCCCTGCCCCTTCTCTGAGGTTTGTCAGTCTGAACCATACTCCTTTCTATGTCTCTGGGTTTATTTTGTTCATCAGCTTATTTTGTTCATTATATTCCACAAATAAGTGAGATCATGTGGATATTACATATTAATGGAATCATACAATAGGTGGCCTTTTGTCTCTGGCTTCTTTCATTTAGTATGTTTTCAAGGTTCATCGTGTTGTAGCATGAATCTGTATTTCATTTTTATGACTGAATAATATTCTATTGTATGGATATACAACATTTTGTTTATCCATTCATCAGTTGGGTATTTTGGATGCTTCCACCTTTCAGCTATTGTGAATAGTGTTGCTATAAATATCCATGTACAAGATGCTTGTACACCTTTTTTTTTTTATTAATCCTCATCAGAGGATTTTTTTTTTTTTTGCATCTTCAGATAGAGCCGGGGGGGGGGGGGCATCAACATGACAGAGACACCTTGATTGTTTGCCACCTGCACAATCCCAACCGGGGCCAGGGACAAACTGCAACTGAGGTACGTGCCCTTAGCAGGAACCAAACCTGGGTCTCTCTGGTCAGCGGGCCGATGCTCTAACCGCTGAACCAAACCAGCCAGGGTGTACACCTCTTTTTAATTCTTCTGGGTAAATACCTAGGAGTGGAATTGCTGGGTCTTTTGGCAGTTCTACATTTAACTTTTTGAGGAATTGCCAAAATGCTTTACACAGTGACTGCATGATTTTACTTTACCACAAGCCAGTTATAAGGGTTTCAATTTCTTCATATCCTCACCAACACTTCTTATTATTTTTATATAATAGCCATCCTAATGGGTGTAAAGTGGTATCTCACTGTGGTTTTTATTTACATTTGCCTAATGACTAATGATGTTGAGCCTCTTCTCATGAGCTTATTGGCCATTTATTTGTCCATCTTCTTTGGTGAGATGTCTATTCAAGTTCTTTACCCATTTTTGATGGTTTGTCTTTTTGTTGTTGAGTTATAAAAATTATTATTTTTTAAATCCTCACCCCAGGATATATATTTTTCTATTTATCTTCAGATAGAGGGAGAGGGAGGGAGGGAGAGAGAGAGAGAGAAACATTGATGTGAGAGAGACACATTGACTGGTTGCCTCTCGCACGACCCCAACCAGGGTTGGGGACAAATTGCAACTGAAGTACGACGTGCCCTTGACCAGAATTGAACCCAAGACTCATTGGTCTGCAGGCTAACGCTCTAACTACTGAGCCAAACCAGCCAGGGCAAGAATTCTTAATATATTCCAGAGTGACCCTATTATTTGACATTTGATGCTGTGGGGTGAGGGGCTATTTGAGGAGGTAGCTCCAGGTTGAGGAGCAACCTGGAGATGGGCCGGACAAAGGGAATCCCAGGGCATTCATTGTGGCTTGCCTGCTGGTGTGAAGAGCTGTTGGCTCTTAGATTTCTAACACGTAAATCGACAGAGAATGTACCAGAGAAGAGCTCTCAGAATTCTTATGATAAGGAAGCAAATAAACTCAGAACTGGCCTTGCTGACCTATGACCTATGCATGACATAGCCTAGGCGAGAGCTATGACAATCAGAAAATCATAAGGAAAGTGCCTTTCCCAAGAAAAGTGAATCAGTAACTGGGTGCCTGTGTGGCCCTCTTTTCCTATTAGGGAGAGAACATCAAAAAGTATGATGAATGCTGCCCCGCCAGTGTGGCTCAGTGGTTGAAAGTTGACCCAGGCACCAAGAGGTCACCAGTTCAATTCCCAGTCAGGACACATGTCCAGATTATGGGCCAAATCCCCAGTAGGAGTGGTATGCAGGAGGCAGCCAGTCAGTGTTCTCTCTCATTGATGTTTTTCTCTCTCTCCCTCACCTTTTCTCTCTCTCTAAAATCAATAAAGAAAACAATTTTTTTTTTAAAGTATGATGAATGCTGAGAACTGCAGTTCCAAAGCTAATAAAACATGACAAAAATAATCACAAATAACATGCCTAAAATTTTCAAATTGCTATTCTCATTCTTATTGTATTAATTTTAAATCTAGCTCTTCTGTGTTGCACAAAAATATTTGTAATTTTTGTCTAGGACATGGAAAAGGTTTTTACATAAATCATTACTAAAAATTTTAACTTATCTTCCTATACATTAAGAAAAAACTACAAACTGCTTTATACTATAAGATATTATAGTAACTATCTGATCTTAGGTTTCATTTAAAAAATTAGTACTGTACTCTACTTGTATTTTTATTAGAACTAGAAATATGAACTAGAACTAGAAAATGATAAGATGGAAATGAAGCCCAAATTGCTAAAACTGAAAATGTACATACTAAGACTTGATTCATGCCCTCTGAATTATGTGAGATTTTTATTATTAATTAATTAATTTATTTATTTTTAATTAACGTTTAGAGAGGGAGGATTAGGGTTAGGGTTAGGGTCTTTGATCGTCTGACTGTCTTATGGAGGAGAATAAAAGCAGTAAGGGGATGGGGTGGGAATCACATTGCATATGTGTTATTTAGTCTGAAAACAGTTGATTGAAATCCAGTTTGATATGGGCTCGCCCACCAAATGTCTAGAGGAGTTTTTATGTTGACAATGAGGCCTGATGTGTGGCCTTCACTAGGTCCCTGGGGACACAGTGGCATCAGTGCAGGGTGTAGGAGAAACATGGCGGAGAGAGGAGAAGCAGTGTCAAGAGCATCTAGAGCTTCTAGCCTTCCACACATGCACGGATACTTCAAACGTAAGCCACGTAGAATTGGGAACAAGAAGACAAAACCAGGTGAAAAACAGATTATATCAAAGTTAAAAGCCATAACTATTACCTGAGCCAAAGAGAAAATGTACAGTCCCCAGTGAGGCAACCACAGCACAAGAAAAACTGTCAATATACTCTTGAGGATTACGGACAGGCTCTCAGCAATCACCTGCAAACATGTGGTAAAGAGTGCATTTTACAAACATTATTAAAAACTATTTTAAAACATGCAAAGAAATGACAAATAGAAATTCTGGGCTAGTGGTTGCCCTGGCAGAGGGGATGGGGCATGTGGTTGGACATGATTTTGGGACTGTTCTACTTGTGTTGGGTGGTAGGTTCATGAATCTCCATGCTTTAAGACTGACATGCATATTATATATATTCTTCTATACATATCAAATTATATATTTTAAAGATAAAGGGAAAAGTTAATATTAGTATATAACTAAAAATATAATCAATAGCCCAGCTGGTGTGGCTCAGTGGATTGAGCGTCATCCCATGCACCAAGAGGTCACAGGTTCCATTCCCAATCAGGGCACATACTTGGGTTTTGGGGTCCACCTCTAGTAGGGGTTTGCAGGAGGCAGCCATTCGATGTTCTCTCATCAGTGTTTCTATCTTTCTCTCCCTCTCCCTTCCTCTCTGAAAAAAAAAAAAGAATTCAAATATATATTTAAAATATATATATTCCGGCTGATGTTGATCAGTGGTTGAGCGCTGACCCATGCACCAAGAGGTCGCTGGTTCGATTCCCAGTCAGGGTACAGGCCCAGGTTGTGGACCAAATCCCCAGTGGGGGGCATATAGGAGGTGGCCAATTGATATTCTCTCTCATTGATGTTTCTATTTCTCTCTCCCTCTAAATCAATAAAGGGGAAAAAAAAGAATATATATGTGTGTGTGTGTGTGTGTGTGTGTATGTATTCAATAGAAAAATTGGAAAAACCTTTATAGTCCTCTTAAATTCCTTTTTTTAAAATCCTCACCTGAGGATATTTTTCTGTTTATCATCAGATAGAGTAGGGAGGGAGGGAGAGGGGAGAGAAAGAAAGATCAATGTGACAGGAGACACATCGACTGGTTGCCTCCCACACAACCGAACAGGGGCCAGGAACTAAACCACAACCGAGGTACGTGCGCTTGACTGGAATTGAACCCGAGACTCATTGCATGGGCTGACGCTCTAACCGCTGAGCCAAACTGGCCAGGGCATCCTCTTAATTCTTATCTAAACTAATAATTTCCCTATTAGCAAAACTGTTTTTACATTAATAGGATAGCAGAGGTAAACTATAGCTCGGCCCATCTGCCAAATTTCAAGTGAATGAACTAAACTGATATTACCTTTTCTCCAATTACCTTTTTAGATACAAGTCTTATAAACATCATTCTCTCCTATGAAAGCATTTTTTAAAAAACAAACAAACACTCTTCCCCTTATTCTTTGCATTTCCCATTCACAATGGAAGGCATACTGACCTTGAGCTTGACAAACATGTGTGCTTGTGCCAAGACCCAGAAGGGCTCTCCCAGAAGTTCCACCACAGCTGAGATACCAAATACCACCACTCCAGTTCCATAGTGGGGAACGACATTAGGATCAGGCACTTCAAGCAACCGTAACCAGACCCAGCCCAGGAACAAGGACCAACACACACCCAGAGGGACTCTAAAAATGGGGGGGAAATATCTTTTAATATGATAAGTATTAAAATATATATTAAAATAGTAACACTGAATGGAAAATAAATAGGGTTATAAGCATAAAAATAGCTAATTAAGGCACTTATTTCATGCCAGATACCATGATTCACCCCCTTTATCTCATGGCATCTCACAATGATCCTGTCATTATCTCCATTTAGGAAACTAAGACTGCTGGGCACTGGGTAATGTGGCCAAGGTCATGAACAGCTAGTGAAGGGCAGAAGCAGGACCCAATTCTGATCTGTCTGATGCCAGGCTATACTCCTATCCATTGTGTTACACTGACTCAAAAAGCAAAATTCCCCAAAAGTGCGCGCCTGTTGTTTCTACTTAGAATGACTAAAAGACAGTATATAGCTGGTACTCACACCCAAATGACCAATAGTCCAGTACATAGTATCCCTTCACGTGTCTACCGTAGAGCATTTAAATATGACTGGGTAGTTAACAGTCATTCCTCGAATAAAGTGAAAACCTACCAGCCCTGTGATAGTCATGTCCATGAGGGTTGCCCAAGAGCAGCATTGGGGAAAAACCTCAACCACCAGCCCTCCCTGCAGGGATTTAACTGCAGAAAAGCTATTACCATTTTCAGCTGATGTACTTGGTCTTCAAGAATATTCTAAAAGGTGCAGGACTGAAAGCAACATAAAATTGAAGATAGATATAATGAAACTCCTAAATGGATTTCAAAAAATACTAAGTGGTTGTTAAAAGCTCAGAAAATACCACATTGGGAAAAGGTTAGGAATAAAAAAGATGGCACAGGCCCAGTGGAGCCCAGATTGGGGATCAGGAACAGAAACCACCTCCAAAAAGGGAAGAACTAGTGCTAAAAACCTGGCCCAGGAACCCCTACCTGAAGCCTCCTCCTGGCTCCTGGCCACCCAGAGAGAAAACAGCAGATGCCAAGTCCCCAGAAACCCACCTTAAAACCAAAGCTGGAAACAGTTCAGCTTTAGGCAACTGTTGCTATTTAACTTGTAATACTTGTTACTTTGAAACTGTCTCCTGACAAAGCACAACTCACGTTAGCCACAGGAGGTTAATGGTCTGGCTCCAGTCCCGCTGGGTGCTCCCACTCAGACATGCTCTCCGGAAGGCCTCTCTGGCCAGGAAGATGGTGGTAGAGTAAAACAATGTTAGCCTGTAAAGGGAACGCAGAAATCAATAAGGTCTCAAGTTTTTTAATAGAGAGAATTTCTGAGATTTTACCAGCAACAGGAAGAGAAAGTCTTGGTCATAAAACACTGGTGGTAATGTAGAAGACAATTCTTACAGGACCCCTCACTACTCGAATCCACTCAAACAACAAAGTTAGGAACCAAATAAGGGACACCTGAGTGTGTGCCTACACAGTTATGCCCGGGACAGAAACTGCCAGATTGGCTCCCAAAGCCTGCAGGCTTTGTGGCCTATAGGCAGAGGTGTGGCTCTGCCTGTAAGGAAAAGACTAAGATATGACCCCATACAACAAGGGGACCTCTTGGTCACTCAGACTGGTGACCCAATGGCCCTTGTGACAGAAGCTGAGGCTCTACTGAATGGAGGCTCTGGCCAAAAGAATCTCAGGACAGGCAAAAATGCTGGTAGCCATCACAGAGGCTGCTGCACCCCAGGTTAGCAAGGCTTGCCAAAGTACGGCCTGGCCTAGGCTGGCAGCACCGAGTTGGACCCTCCTGCACCTTAGTGAGAAGTAGCTGAGGTTTCCCTTCCTCAACAGGCCAGATGAAGCCAGAGTGGGGATGGCCCAGGGCTAAGGTTTCTGAGGTTGTGCAAGGATCATCCTGCTACTCAGTGCTTCTGTTCAACACTGCGAATGAGGAGACTGAACCATCCATTAAGGAGGGGGCAGGCCAAACAACGTCTATCAAAGCAGGGACCTGCCAATCTGGAGGCTTCTAGATGGGGAGAGGCCCAAACTGCTTTAAAGTCTGAGCACCTAGGACTTCCGGTCAAGATGGCGGCGTAGGTAAATGCGGTATCGCGTCCTCCCACAACCACATCAAAGTTACAAATAAACTACAGAACAACCATCATTCTAAACCGCCTGAAATCAAGCTGAATGGAAGTCCTACAACTACGGAATTAAAGCAGCAGCCACATCCAGACTGGTAGGAGGGGCGGAGGGGCGAGGGCCGGTGGCGAGACAGGCTGGTCCCACACCCACGTGTGACGGATAAAAATCAGGAGGACATCTCGGCTGAGAGGGTCCTTGCTGAGGACTGAGGGATCCCTGTCCCACACCAGGTGCCCCACTCAGGGTTCCAGTGCCAGGAAGAGAATCCCCATAACTTCTGGCTGGAAAAACCAGCGGGAACTGAGGCTCAGGGAAGCTGAGTTGGCTGGAGCCCCAGGCAGCTCCTTAAAGGGCCCGCGCACGGACTTACCGGACTCACTCCCTCTAAGCTTGGAGGGAGGCAGCTCGAGGGGCACCAGAGACATACAGGGAAGAACTGAGCTGTTTGGCACTGGAGCGAGGGCTTTCTTTGGGACAAACGTGCTGTCAGAGGCCTTTGTTCCTTTGGTGAGCCCTTCCCTGGGGTGGCAGACAGCCACCATATCTGGGACTCCAACAACCTGGCTCACACTGGTAGCCCCGCCCTGGTGACTCCCTGAGGCCCCGCCCCGCCCCACCCCGCCCCACCCCCGCCCCACCCCCGCCCCACCCCACCCAACTTTCAGGCCCACCCCACCCAACTTTCAGGCCCACCCAAGCTGTTGCCACTTGCTTAACCATAGGATTGGCCTGTCTTGGATCCTGCTTCAGTTTTTTTCTAAATTCTTTCAAACGAGCAACATCTGGTCTCAGCTGGCCCCATACCTCTCGTTAAATAATACACAGAAACAAACACAGGAAGGCAGCCAAAATGAGGAGACAAAGAAACAGGTCCCAAATGAAAGAACAGAACAAAACGCCAAGAAAAGAACTAAACGAAATGGAGATAAGCAACCTAACAGATGCTGAGTTCAAAATACTGCTTATAAGAATGCTCAATGAACTTAGTGAGGGCCTCAAGAGCATAAAAAAGGACCAGTCAGAAATTATGGATGCACAGTCAGAATTGAAGGAGGCATTAACTGAAATAAAGAATAATTTACACAAATTCAATAGTAGAGTAGGTAAAGCCAAGAAGCAAACCATCGATTTGGAATATAAGGAAGCAAAAAACGCCCAACCCGAACAGCAAAAAGAAAAAAGAATCCAAAAAAATGAGGATAGTGTAAGGAGCCTCTGGGACAACTTCAAGCGTGCCAACATTCGTATCTTGGGGGTGCCAGAAGGGGAAGAGCAAGAACAAGAAATCGAAAACCTGTTTGAAACAATAATGGCAAAAAACTTCCCTAACTTGGTGAAGGAAACAGACATACAAGTCCAGGAAACACAGAGAGTCCCAAACAAGATGAACCCCAAGAGGCCCACACCAAGACACATCATCATCAAAATGCAAAAGGTTCAAGACAAAGAGAGAATCTTAAAAGCAGCAAGAGAAAAGCAGCTAGTTACTTACAAGCGAGTTCCCATAAGACTGTCAGCTGATTTCTCAAAAGAAACTTTGCAGGCCAGAAGGAGTGGCAAGAAATATTCAGAGTGATCAAAAGCAAGAACCTACAACCAAGATTACTCTATCCTACAAAGCTGTCATTTAGAATCGATGGCCATATAAAGACTTTCCCAGACAAGAAAAAGTTAAACAAGTTCATCACCACCAAACCGTTATTATATGAAATGATGAAGGGTCTTTTTGAAGAAAAAGATAAAATATATGAACAAACAAAATGGCAATGAATACATATCTATCGACAATGGAATCTACAAACAAAATGGACAGGCAGAACAGAAACATTCTCATAGATACAGAGAACATTTTGTTGGTTGCCAGATGGGAGGGGGTTAGGGGAATGGGTGAAAAAGGTGAAGAGATTAAGAAGTACAAATTCATTGCTAGACTGACAAAACTCAAAGGGAAAGGGGTTGGGGGGGTGGGAAGAAATAAACCAAAGAACTTATATGCATAACCAATGGACACAGACAATAGTGTGGGAAAAGATGGGAGGGGAGCGGGAGTGGGGAGGAGGGGGTCAATGGGGGAAAAATGTGGAACATCTGTAATACATTTTACATTCAACAATAAAGATTTTTTTTAAAAAGTCTGAGCACCTAAAAGGACTTGATATTTTCCTTCCTGCTTTTAAAACAGTATTTCTCTGGTTGGTTTGGCTCAGCGGTTGGAGCGTCGGTCTGAGGACCACAGAGACCCAGGTTTGGTTCGCGCTAGGGGCACGTACCAAAAAAAAAAAAAAGTTATTTTAGCTCTGGCCGGTTTGGCTCAGCAGCGTCGGACTGTGGTCCAGAGAGACCCGGGTTCGGTTCCCACTAAGGGCTCGTACCTCGGTTGCAGTTTGTCCCTGGCCCTGGTTGGTCATGTGCGTGGCAGCCACTCGACGTGTCCCTTTCACGTAGATGTTTCTCTCTCTATCTTTCTCTTCCTCTCTCTCCCTCCCACTCTATCTGAACAAAAAATGGAAGAATGTCCTGGGGTGAGGATTAAAAAAAAAATTGGAGAAATGTCCTTGGGTGAGGATAAAAAAATAAATAAATAAAAATAAAATAAAACAAAACAGTATTTCTTACCCATCTGGTGTGGCTCAGTGGTTGAACACTGACCCATGCACCAAGAGGTTGCTGGTTCAATTCCCAGTCAGGACACATGCCCAGGTTGTGAGCTGGGTCCCCATTGGAGGGCATGCAGGAGGCAGCCAATCGATGTTCTCTCTCATCAATGTTTCTATCTCCCTCTCCCTCTCTTTCTAAAATCAATAAAGAAAAAACAAAACAAACAAAAGACAGTATTTCTCAAAGTATGTGCCCTACTTTAAAATCAACTGAGGAGTCTGTCAAAATGCAGGATCTCGGGCTTCTCCTCAGCCCTACCTAGTGCAAAGCTCCCAGATGATTCCCTTGCCCGTCCTTGTTTGAGAACCTTCACTAAGCTCCGAGAACAGAGACAAGAGCATATGCTTGGTAGGTATTAGCCGTGAAATGCTGTCTGGAACAGACTGTCTTATTTATCAGGACATGAAGACACACCTGAGAAGCTGAGCTGTTCTGCACACTCACATCACTTCATATACTTTTGTGTCACTGTGAATACAGAGTATGTGTGGGCGTCCTTGAACAGAAAAGAGAGTAGAAGAAACAAACTGAGTCTAAAGACAAAGTAAGTCACTAAGAGCCTCCAAGGAACTAATGACAAGGACTTAAGCTTTTATCTCAGCTATCATTTTCCACTGCACAATTCACTTAGGAGAGAGAAAATTCACTGTTCCAGCCCTGTGATTACAAAGCACATCCTCATGAACTGCAGTATTCCTGCTTCCTTTGCTGTCAGCAGGACAAGAACACAGAATTACACCTGAGACGCGTTTGCAATGAATTACTCCCACTCCTCTCCAGGGTTCTAAGAGCAGGCAGACAGGAAAAAGCTGGCTGGGAAATGTACATTTTGAGGCTGCTAATGGAAAACACTCCATGGGTCCATTAAGAGCAACATCCCCCACTCATTCCCTCACCCCAGCCCACTGCTAAAACACTCTGACTCTAGTAAATGCCCATGCTTCTAAAATCCGAGGGTGACACACCAGCACAGAGGAAAACCTGACTGGGGATGAGTTGTGGACCATGCCAGGGCACATCCCTTCTTACCTTACATTCACTATGCCAACAATTTCCTTTGACAGAAAACGAAGAATAAATGCATTCAAGACAAAGGTGATCAATCGAAACACCACCTACAGAAAAAGAAGAAAAACATAAAAATAAATTATGTTGGGAGTGTATACTTTGCTGAAATGAAAACAATGTGGCTGTTCTTCCTAATGTAATGACACACAGCAGCCTTGCCATGGAGACCCTTTGTAAAACATTCAACCTGTCTGCATTTCTTCCAAAAATTTCATTCCTTGGGTTTTCTTGGCACACCTGGGCAGTGGTCAAAGGACCCATCAGTAAACCCTCATTTACTGATGAGAAGCAGGAGGCCCTGACAGACTCAGGGGACGTCTTTGGGTTCAAAGTCAGATGCTCCAGGAGGCAGAAAGAGAATTTTATTTAGTGCTTCACATTGCCTCTCCTCTTCCAGCCTGTTTAGAAATAGCACACACTTTGCAAGTGGGAGCCTGCAGGGTAGAGTAGGCTCACTAGTAATCATGGGGTCTAATTTCTCTTTTCTGCTTCTAATATCTGGGGATTCCAATAATGACATTTAATCTCTTTGAACTTCAGTTTTCAATCAGAAAACAGAAAAGGCTGTATTTATTTACTTAATATTTGCCACCTTCTAGAGAGGAGTTAAAATATCCTTTAAATGACAACTGCAATAACAAGATAATGTAAAATGGGGGGCAGGGGGTAGAATCCAGCCATTGCCATTTGCAAGGAATATATCCTGAGACTTTCAAACCTGTCAATTCAAGAAGACCACCTTAGCAAAAAATTCTTCCCATGAGACAGAGAAGAACAGGTTGCAATGAAATTGGGTTACTAAATGGGGATGCTGGCTGGGGTGCAAGCCTCACTCACTAAGTAACTCTCTCTCTGCGTCCCAGCAGCACCACAGGTGTAACTTAACTGCACTTGTGAGCAAACGCCAAATCACTTCTCTGTCAAACACTTTCAGAGTTACCCATGAACAGCTGCAATCTTAGTCAACCAAGTATGCCAGTGAACCACTACAGTCTGAAAAATCTCCAGGGAAAGGTAAGACCAAAAAGGGAGGGTGCAACTTTAAAAATGTCCCTAAGTGTCACAGAGCAGAAGGGTCTCCAAAGCCAAAATATCACAATCTTAACATTTATGGGGTTGAATGTGACTTTTTGTGAGTCTGGTGAAAGTTCTGTCTCCCTCCTTAGAAACAGGCAGGTACATACAAAGGTGGGCAAAAGTAGGTTTATAGTTGGGCAAAACAGAATTTATCTTTGCATTATTATTTATTATTGTATTATTTATTTGCATGACAAATGTAAACCTATTTTTGCCCACCCCTGTACATATATATACACCAAATTCTGTACTCAGTTTTAGGGGTTTGAAACCAATGGGAAAAAGCATTCAGCTAAAAATCTCAAGTCACCATTTAACTGTTAGCTCCTTCATCCTCTAATGTTTATAAGCCTCATTCTCTTCCTGTCAGATGAGGCTGCAAATCTCATAGGATAATAAGGATCAAACAAGATTGTGTAAGTAAAAGCATTTTTAAAAAATATACATACAAATGAAAGGCATTAGCACTTTCACTATGGCCAGCTCAGAGTTAAGACAGAGAATAAACTCTCAAATTCTTGTAAATTACAATGTAATTGCAAAGCTACCTCAAGTGTCTGCATTGTAAATTGAGAAAGCATACAAGATTGAATTAAAACCCTCAAGTATGGCCTGGCCGTTTTTGCTCAGTGGTTAGAGCATCGGCCTGCGGTCCAGAGAGACCTGGGTTCGGTTCCCGCTAAGGGCACGTACCTCAGCTGCAGTTTGTCCCCGGCCCTGGTTGGGTTGTGCGGGTGGCAGCCACTGGATGTGTCCCTTTCACTTCAATGTTTCTCTCTCTCTCCCTCCCACTCTATCTGAACAAAATATGAAAAAATGTCCTTGGGTGAGGATAAAAAAAACAAACAAAAAAAAACACTCAAGTATGTAAAGATTATGGCTATTTTTATAAAACCCACATAAGCACATTTATGTTAACTTCAAAGTCAAAGTTATCCTTGTCTAAGAAACCTAATGCCTCAGGTTTTTCCCTATTTAATTGGTCTGAGTGAGAATTTGAGCTAATGAAGCTCTAAGGTTGCTCATGTTATCCAGTATTTGCTCCACATATTGGCCCTTATTAGTAAGTCTTCACTTAACTTTGTAAAGGAATTTATAGTTTAAAAAAAAGCCCTTTCATTTCTGTTAATTATGTGACCCTTAAAAGCAACCGAGTAAATGCACATGAAGCAAGTAAGACTCAGAGCAAAGTGAGTTGCCCAATGTCCTTTCATTCCTACTATGACCATTTAAAACATTCTAATGACTGTAATAAAAATAGCTAATACTTATTAAGTACTTATAATGTGCTAGGCACATATCAGGCATTTCATCTAATCTCCCTAATTACCTTATGAGATTGTATTATTGTTCTAATTTAAGATAAGGAAACTAATGCTCATAGAACTCAAGCTACAGTATTCCCTCGCCACTTTGCCCTTCAAGTTCGCGGCTTCACTCTATCGCTTTTTTTTTGGTACGTGCCCCTAGCGGCAACCGAACTCAGGACTCTCTGGTCCACAGGCCCACGCTCCAACCGCTGAGCCAAACCGGCCAGGGCTTATCGCGTTTTTTTCCGAAAGTCGAAGGATGCAATGTCAAGGGATTACTGTATATAAATAAAGAATCCTACTTCATGGAAATTCATTTATTGTGGTAGAGTCTGGAACTGATTAACCACGATAAACGAGCTCTGACTGTATCTTCCCAAGGGTGGGCCGCTAGCAAGTGACGTGGCCCAAACTTGACCCCAAGCCTGCCTGGCTCTTTCTCCTAATCTCCATGTGAAATGTTGACTCTCTAAAATAAGTGGTAAGGGGACCTGGCTGGTTTTGCTCAGTGGTTAGAGCATGGGCCTGCAAACCAGAGTCTGGAGTTCGATTTTGGTCAAGGGAATGTACCCCGGTTGTGATTTCAGTCTCTGGTTGGGCTTGTGCAAGAGGCAACCAATCGATGTGTCTCTCACATAGATGTTTCTCTCTCTCTCTCTCTCTCTCCCTCACTCCCACTCTATCTCAAAATAAATGGAAAAATATCCTCGGGTGAAGATTTTAAACATCAATAAATAAAATAAAATAAGGGGGAAAGTGGATTCAAGCTTTTTGTGAGGAAGGGTTGAATGGCTCAAGAGTGACATAGAGAGCCCTGGCCAGTTTGGCTCAGAGGTTAGAGAGTTAGCCTGCGGTCCACAGAGACCTGGGTTCAGTTCGGGCTAGGGGCGCGTGCCTCGGTTGCAGTTTGTCCCCGGCCCTGGTTGGTTGTGCGGGTGGCAGCCACTCGATGTGTCCCTTTCACATTGATGTTTCTCTCTCTCTCTCTCTCTCCCCCCCCCCCTCCCACACTCCATGTGAACAAAAAAATGGGAAGGTGTCCTCGGGTGAGGATAAAAATAAAAAAAAAGAGTGAAAGAGAAACTGAACCACTTGACTTAGAATGATCAGCTCCTAGGGTTAAAAGGATCTTTAGATACCATTTTGATCACCTGGCATGTACGTATCTGACAGATGATGAAAATTAGGACCAAGAGGAAGTGATTATTCCAAGGTCACATAGCCAGAAGGAAGACACAGCCAATATTTACTAAGTGCATACCAAGAGTACTGTTAAGTGCAATTATCTGAATAACTTTAATTAGCCATCAGCCACTTTATGGGCTGGTACTATTACTATTACTATTACTATTACTATTACTATTACTATTACTATTACTACCCCCATTTTCCAATGAGCTGAGGCTTAGCAGGTGAAGTCACTTGTCCTGGTTCATGCAGCAAGCACATGGCAGAACCAGGATTTCAATTCATGCCTGCCTGAGCCCCTGTTCTTAGCTATGCCAAACTGTCTCTCTGAACTCAGTGGAAGTCAGAGAATCTGAGGAACGTGTTTGAGGGTAATGAACAAAATGAACCCCTTGCCTTAAAAAATATCAGATTCTACAGCACCACCAACACCTCTGCCACCTGATCTCTCTCCTACTAACATATGGGAACTAAATTCTCAAAAGGAAAGGGCTTGTTTGCAATCTCCCAGCCAGGGCGCTGAACGCAGGCTCCCAACTCCAGGCCCAGGAGCCCCATCTCCGCCGCCACCTCCTCCTGTCGAACCCCTCCGTAGCGGGATGCACACAGGGACTGAGCCTGCCCGCAGCCGGGCTCCTCGCGCATCCCGGCTGCGGGACCGCTTGGGGCCGACGGGGCAGAGAGTACCTGCAGGAGCAGACCCGAGGAGGCCAGCCGGGCCGCCTGGCCCAGCACCTCGTGGCTGCCCATAGCCTCGGCACCCGGTCTGTCACCAGGAAACGCCGCCGTCAGCCAGCTTCGTCGCGAGAACAGAGCGTCATGGAGCAGCTCGCTCGCTGATTGGTGACATGGGGACGGAAGGCGGGGCACGAGAAGTGCCGGTGCTTTAACTGGGCGGGGCGGGGATACGTCAGTGTTCTGCGTCGCAGCTCCTCTCCTCTCGTACAGGTTTTTGCGCTTTCTATGCCCATCCCTACCTGTCTCCAATAAGCTAGTGACCGCTACGAAGAAAAGTTGTCGAGTAGCCAAAGCGCCCTAAGGTTCTCAGCTTACCATCCCCAAAAAACACTAACCTCCCTGGCCTCAAAAGATTCTTGCCTTTTGGCCTTTGCCTACAAAATCTCAGCCACAGCTCCCTAAATTAGGCTGGACGGAAATTGACCCAATTTAACAAAGAACTGAGGACCAGGAGTTAAATACAGCATTTTGACATGTGTGGTTCTGTGGACTTCTTCCTAAAGTGCTGAGAATTGGGCTTGTTGTCAGATAAGTAAGGTGAGACTCGGAGATGTGAAGTGACTTGTTCCTGTCTGCACATCTTGTCCCTGGTGGAGCAGATCCCAGGCTCCTAATCCTAAACTTGCCTCCCTTACCTGCATGCTGCCAGTTGTGAGGACAGAGCAGAAGAGTGGAGAGAAGTGCTTTCTAAAATGTAAAGAACCCAACACACAATCAGCTGTTTTTCACGAGTGATCTTATTATCTTCTATGCAGACTTTGGGAAGCCCAATCTTCCCCAATCTCTTTAAGGTCTTCTGTGATTTGACCCCAGCCTACCTTCTCACCCACCTTATATATAATCGCTGCCCTTTCCCAACACACTTTAGTTTCTAGCCATTAGGAACCCTTACTGTTCCTCAAATAGGCCCTGTCTCAAGGAAGTGCCTTCGTTGATGCCCCCCCCCCCCCCTCAGGCCCCACTGTCCTGACTATTCTGAGTATCAGCTCCTTCTGTGGACCTGAATATATGTCCTCCCCAAATTCAGATGTTGAAGCCCTAATCCTAAGTATAATGTTTTTTGGAGGTGGGGCCTTTGAAAGGTTATTATGTCTTGAGGGTGGAACTCTTAATGAATGGGGTTAGTGTCCTTATAAGAAGAGACAAAAGAGAAATGAACTTCCTCTCCCCCATGTAAGGATAGCAGCAAGAAGGCAGCCAGCTTCAAAACAGGAAGAGAGCTCTTACCAGAAATTGAATTAACCAGCACTTTTTCTTGAACTTCTCAGCCTCCAGAACTGCAAGAAATAAATTCCTGTTGCTTAAGCCACTCTGTCTATGGTATTCTGTTGCAGGTGCCTGAGCAGACTAAGACAGCACCTATGAAGCACTTTGTAACCCTTAATCGCTCTTAGCACAATCTGCTTTACAATGAAGAGACTAGAATATGTTTCTCTGTCTAAACAGCCTATGAGTTCCAAGAAGGCAAGAGTGAAGCCCACCTGGCTTTGCCTCCTGCAAGATAGCAGAGAAAGTTCCTAGGACTCCCATAAATACCCCCTGACTTTTACTGCTGCTGGAAAGAGATGATGGGGCTCAAGGCATATGTACCTCCCTATCCACATCTTGCCAGATTATCCAACTCTATTTTATGGTAGAGGAACAGAATGTGAGCTTTTGATTGTCAGAAAGACCTGGCCCTGAATCTTCATTCTGCTACTCACTAACCAGGTGACCTCAGTTTGCTTAACTGTTAAATAGGGGATATTATCTCTCCTGTGAGGGTAATTACAAGAATCAAAGTAAAAAAAAAAAAAAAAATGTCTGGCCCTTAAGGAGCTTAAATTCTAGTAGAAGGGAAATGGAAAAACACCCCCCCCCCCAACAACAAACAATAAAATTTCACATAGTGATAAGTGCTGTGAAAGAATAAAACCAGAGAAGGTAATAGAGGCTCTAGGAGGGGTAGGAAGGCATGATGTTCTGGAAGGCAGAGAAAACTGGGCACCCACCTGGGAGAGGCGTGTACCTGGAAAGGAGAGCAAAGAGTTGGAGGGTCAAGGTATTCAGCCTAAGGGCCAAGATGCCCAAGGCCTTGACCTGGCAGCCTGCCCACCCCATGGACCTTGGACTGGCAGGTGAGATAGGCTCTTGCTCCCTTTATCCCCAGCCAAGGAGCTGCCTCCTCCACAGCTCATCCCTGGAGCAGAACCAACCAAGAGCTCTTCATGTCCACATGCTTCTAACCCTGGGCATCCAAATGGGCTGGTCTGGTAGGGACAAGGAGATCATTTTTCTGGGGGCAAAGAAGCCAAAGAGAAATGCTCCAAGCTAAGTCTGAAGGGCAAAGCCACCCAGGAGTCCAGAGTCCAGACCCCCAGGAGCTCCTGGGCAAGAAGTCATAGATCTTTTTCTTTCGTTCTGAAAGTTAAGACTTAGCAAGGAGAAACTGAGCAGGAACTTTGTGCCCAGAGCCATGCTGGGTGCTGGGGTGGGTTGGGGAGAAGGAATTGTGATGAGAGTCATTGAGCACTGACCACTGACCCCACGTCAGGCACCTGTCTGAGCACTGTACCCCTTCATTCTCTCAACAACCCATGAGGTAGGTATTACGGATGAGGAAACTGAGGGACAGAGATGTTAATGTTACTCACACCCAAGCCCCTTCAGCTAGGGAGTGGTCAACCAGTATTGAACCTACGTGCTTTCTGACTCCAAATGCTGAAAGAGTGATGTTCCTACCTTCAAAAAGCTCTGGCCCTGAAGGAGACTTAGCTCAGAGTCCCCATATTGAAACAGAGATCATATGTGGCACTGAGGGAGTGGACTCTGGGAGGGCTGCAGTGGCTCAGCTGCACTGAGCCTCTCCAGTGGCCTCGCCTCTGTTGACGGTATTGATACCAACAGGGCATGACACCCTCCATGGTCTTTGTGTGGAGGGCTATGGCCCACTGGCTGTGGCCTGTTTCGTTTGACCTGTGAACTGAGGATAGTTTTTACCTTTTTATTTTTATTTATTTTTTGGATAATTCTCACCCGAGGATATTTTTTCATTGATATTTAGATAGAGTGGAAAGAAGGGAGGGAGAAAGAAAGAGAGAGAGAAACATCAATGTGAGAGAGACACATCGATTGGTTGCCTCCTGCATGACCCTGACCAGGGCCAGGGATTGAACCTGCAACCCTAATATGTGCCCTTGACCAGGAATCAAACCTGCGACCCTTCTCTCCACAGGCCAGCACTCTAACCACTGAGAAAAACTGGCCAGGAAAGTTTTCACCTTTTTTAATGGCTGGGAGAAAAAAAATCAGAAGAAAAATACTTCATGAGATATGAAAATCATATGAAATTTAAATTTTGGTGTCCACAAATAAAGTTTTATCGGAACATAGCCACATCCACCCATTTGTTTATATATGTTTATAGCTAATGTTTTGCTACAATAGCAGAGTAGTTTGGCCCAAAACACTGAAAATGTGTTATCCTCACCCGAGGACATTTTTCCATTTTTTGTTCAGGTAGAGTGGGAGGGAGAGAGAGGAACAGAGAGAGAGAGAGAAACATCGACATGAAAGGAACACATCGAGTGGCTGCTACCCTCACAACCGACCAGGGCCGGGGACAAACTGCAACCGAGGTACGCGCCCTTAGCGGGAACCGAACCCGGGTCTCTCAGGACCACAGGCCGACGCTCTAACCGCTGAGCCAAACCGGCCAGGGCTATTTTTAAATTATTTTATTTTTGTTACAGATGTTTCTCCTTTTTTTTCCCCATTGACACCCTCCTCCCCAACCCCCCACCCTGTCCCCAGCTTTGTTGTCCGTGTCCATTGGTTATGTGTACATGCATATAAGTTCTGTGGTTTATCTCTTCCCTCCCCCCACCACCCCCTCTTCTGAGGGTTGTCAGTCTGTGCCCTACTTCCATGTCTCTGGATCTACCTTATTCCTCAGACTGTTATGTTCATTATATTCCACAAATAAGTGAGATCATGTGGTATTTGTCTTTTTCTGCTTGGCTTGTTTCGCTTAGGATAATACTTTCCAGGTCCCTCCATGTTGTCTAGAAGGATAAGAGATCTAAAATGATTGTTTTGTTTTGGTTTTTATCCTCACCTGAGGACATTTTTCCGTTTTTTGTTCAGATAGAGTGGGAGGGAGAGAGAGGAAGACAGAGAGAGAGAGAGAGAGAGAGAGAGAGAGAGAGAGAGAGAAACATCGACATGAAAGGGACACATCAAGTGGCTGCCTCCCCCACGACCCAGCCAGGGCCAGGGACACACTGCAACTGAGGTATGTGTCCTTAGCAGGAACTGAACCCGGGTCTCTCTGGACCGCAGGCTGACACTCTAACCGCTGAGCCAAACCAGCCAGGGCCCAAAACACTGAAAATATTTACTGTCTGGCCCTTTACAGAAAAAGTTTGCCAATCCTGGTGAGTCCCAGTGTCTGACACGCAGTAGACATTTCAATGTTGAATGACCGAATGCATGGATACATGACTAATGAAGGACTAGGAAAGGAAGAAAGAAAAATGAAAAGGTTCTTTTGTAGGGGTCACCTGGTTTGGGGAGCAAGTGATCCTTAGAGAATACCAGACCATAATTGGTGGTCACTGAAGGAGCTATTTCCCCCTCCCTGCTGCCCTCTGTGTCAGGTGGCCTCCTTGCCAAGGAAAGCTGACCCGAGCTGGCTATTTTATTTCAAAGCTGGAGGGAGTGCCCGGTTTGGTGCCAAGTCAGTCAGGCTCCCAGGGCAGCGGGGAGGGAGGCTGCCAGCAGACAAGGAGGCATGGTACAAGCTAGCTAGGGCAAGTGGGGCCTTGGACCTCAGCTGGGTGGAGGCAGGAGAGCTGGGCATTGTCCCATATACCAGCCACTGGGAGGTGGGCATCTTGGGTGAGGGTCCTGCCCTGCCAAAGCTTTCTGCTGCTCACCAAGTGGAGGACCTCCACCAGGCTCCATCCCTCCAGGAGAACCTCAAGACTCTGCCCTTCACCCTGGCCGGTTTGCCTCAGCAGTTAGAGCATTGGCCTGCGATTTAGAGAGACCCAGGTTTGGTTCCAGC